GTTATGTGTTTCTTGCAGGCATTTGTTTTCAGTTTTATGGTATGTTTTCTGGGGGGGCGCCTATGTTGTACCATGCCGGAAGCTGTTTTTTGATGTTTTTAGATATCTTGATCATGGCGAAGATGATGTTGTGTTTTTTGGCAGTTTTTATTATTTTAAAGGGATCTCAAGTTGGGTCCTCTGGTTGGTGGGTCCCAGTTTTGGAGAAAGGTATTGTCGACTCCCTTCCTGTTATTAATGTCTTTCATTTTCAAGTTGCTTATTAACAGGTCTATTACATAGGCCCAAGTTGGTCATGTTGGTGATATATTGAGGCATCATTTTACCTAAGTTATTTCTATTGCTTCATTTCTTGATTTAATGTCTAGTAGGTTGATTCCTCCGGCTTCTTTTGTTTGGTATAGTTGTTCTAGGTTTATAGGCGGGGAGCGTGTGTCGTTCCAGATGAAGTTCCTGGTGATTTTTATTAGCACTGACTCAATGTGTTTAGGCATCCCTTGTGCTTTTGCGAGGAACTGAGTCATTCCGCCAACTATCATCTGTATTATTAATCTTTTGCCGTCCAGGTTCAGGTGACTTTTGTTCCAGATTTTAAGTGCATTGTTTATTTTGTTTAGGATGGGTTTTCATGGCATTGCATCATCTGTTTTATTCCCGATCCATGCACCTAGTGATCGTATGTGGTGTCCATCAGGTGCGATTTTTATGTTGTTCTTGAGTGGTTGGTTACATTGATTTAATTTTCATGTAGAGATAACTTGTTCTCGGTGAGTCTTTGATCCTATGTGTAAGATTTCTGTTTTTTCTAGGTCAAATTTAGCCCCAGAGGCTGGGCACCATTTCGATAAAATTCTCTCTAAGTCGCTGTACTTATTGTCTTTGCTCAGGAATATTGTTGTGTTGTCAGTGTATATGTTGACTATTATTTTGTTTGTTATATTTGGGATGTTGTAACCTTGTAAGTGTTCTGAGTTCCTCAAGGTGCATGCTGAAGGTTCTATTGCTAGGTCAAATAGCGAGCAGGATAGTGGGTTGCCCTGTCTAATGCCTTTTGTCACTTTGAAAGGTGAGCTCATTACTCCGTTGATTGCGACCTTTGTGTAAGCATTATTGTATAGTGCTTTTATTGTTTTAATGAACATCAGCGGGAGGTTGAATAACTCTAGTGTTTCTATGAGGTAAGCATGGTTGATTCTATCATATGCTTTCTCCTTATTGAGTGCTATTAGGGCTCCGTCTTCCTCTGTTATATCGGCATATTCGATCATGACTTTAGCTAGTTGTATTGGGTTGAAGATTGATCTCTTCAGGATGAACCCACTCTGATCTGGGTGGACAAGGGTGTGTACCTCTTTTGCTAATTGCATTGCTAACACTTTCATGAAAATTTTGTAGTCTGTATTTAGGAGTGTAATAGGGCGATAGTTTTCTATCTCTACTCGGTCTTTTTTCTTATAGATCGGACACATCCATCCAAGGGAGAATTCTGTTTGTTTGTCGATGCTGTGTATTTGTATATTGTTTATTATTATTGTAAGTGTCTTGATTACATTGAAGCTTGGTTTTTTTTTGTTAATCCAATTTGTGCTTTTGATCTAGGCATTTCCATACTTCATATGGGATTCCATCTAGCCCTGCTGCACTACCTGCTTTTGATGCATAGAGGGCGGCATATATTTGGTGTTCATTGAGGAGGTTATGTAAAGGTGAGCGAGGGTTCTCGAGTTTTTGTTGTTGTGGTATTTCTCTCTTTACTTGTTCTATTGTTCTTTTTCTTATCTCTTCTGTTTCTGGTGACTGATTGCTTTTCTGTAGATCTTCATGATATTTTCATGCAATATCCACCATTTTGTTGGAGCATGTGGCAAAATGGTTCTTGTTTGGTATTCTCAATTTGTGTATTATGTCTCGAGGTCTTTTGATGCTGTTGATTTTTGACCAATATTTGCTTATAGTTTCTCCCTCTGCAGCCCATTTAGCTTGAGAGTGGAGTTGTAGATTTTTTTTCTAGGTGGTTGATTTCACTTTCAAGCCAGGCTTTGTGGCGTCTGGTGAGCTCATTTGTGTCCATGTCGTGGTTTTCTAGCATGGACTTGAGGTCTTCTTCCAGTTTTTTTGGTGTCTTGTCTTTTTTTGTTGAGGTGTTCTTTAGCTGTTTTGCGGGCTTCTTGACATATTTGTGTTTTGAAGTCTTCCCATACTCTTTGTGGGTTCGAGTCTTTGTTTCTCTGTGTGGTTTGTTCCGTTATTTTTTGCTGTGCTGTTTTACCCAGGTCACTCATTTTTTTGATTAGGTTTGGGTTGTTTATTAGTCCTATTGGCCAGGACCACCGTCCTGGTCCTATAAATGGAGTGTTTGTTGGCGTGAAGCATACTGTGACCATTCGGTGGTAGGAGTGCCAGTCGCATATGATTTGATCATGTTGAGGTGATACATAGATTTGGTCTAGTCTTGAATGTGAGTTTGTGTTACTATAGAAGGTGAACAGTCTTTCTGATGGAATTGTTTCTCTCCATGTATCTTGTACATTTAGTTGGTTTCTCAGTTCTCTCAGTGTGCTGATTGCATTTTCATTGTCTAGTTTTGCTGGTGCTCTGTCTAAAGGGTCCTCACAGTCAGGTTAAAGTCGCCTAACATGAAGTCTGGGTGTGGTAGGTTTTTCTCTTGCTATTTTTCATTGATTTTCCCCCAGAATTCTGGGTGTTGGGTGGTATTGTTTGGGGCATATACATTTAAGATAGTGAGGTTGTCATTATTATGCCATTTTATTTCAAGTACCATTGCTCTACCTGGGATGAGTTCGAAGGTTTTGGCATTGTCAGCATTGGTGAGTTCTCAGTTTATGATAAAAGTGACTCCTGCTGAGGAGCCTGGGCAGATAGGGTCTTTTAAGTTTATCACTCTCATTCTTTGTGAGTGTAGGGTTTCTATTTGGGCCTCGTGTTTATTGTTCAGGTGAGTTTCTTGTAGACAAAGGATTCTGATCTTCCTCTCTCTCATTACATGTTGTATCACTGGCCATTTCGATATGTTACTATGTCCTAGGTGTTGAGATGCGCATCCTTTGATGTTTAGTGTTGCAATATGAACATTTGCTCTCAATTATTTCTTACTGCATGTGGTGCCGCTTTGATTTAAGTTAGCCTGGTTTGGCATTTGGAGGGCTCCACCTCCTATCTCCCATGTATTTTCATTGGAGAAGGATCCGGTGGTTTGAAATCCTCCCCCTCTATTACTCAGAAGGCTTGAATCAAGACTGGGAAACGAACCATATTGAGAATTTATGTAGTTATTTTGAGATGAAGTGGTTGATATACTGCACTGTCCAATACGACCATCAGGAGGTAAGGACTACCATATCCCGGATAGCCATGGTGGATATATGTTCACACTTTTGGAGTGGCGAGCTCAGCTTTTACCATACCTCTAGTGGTCACTTCAGCTTCTCAGCACAGTGAATTCTTGGCCTAAATAGGCCTCCATTTTTGGCTATTGCCATTGGGGCTGCCATGACTTTCCTGTCCAGCTATTGGAACCAGTATATTTGGATCATGGGTGAATTTACTAGATCTTGCCCCAGGGATCTAACTCACAAGATTCTGTAGCTTAAGGTCAGAGTTAAGGCTGCATTTCATAGCCTTATGGAAGTTTTTTGGAAGAGTGGGGGTTATGTTTGAGTACAGAGATACAAGGTAGGTAGGTAGGTGTACAAGGTATGTAGCTAGGGAGGTATGGAGGTCTAGGGGTTGGTTGGGTTAAGGGTGTATATACAGGTGACAGGTAGTGAGAGTGAATATAGATTGGACTAGGCAGGAATTCTCCTTCCCTTTCCTCTGCCTCTCATGTTCGTGTTGGATGGTCTTGGGTTGGCATTGTGCTTGGGGCCATTTCAGAGTGGGACATTGGAGAAAGGGCATAAGCTGTGAGGATGAGCAATTGAGTGGCAAAGTGGACATGGGATGAAGTTGACAGTGGTACTGCTGCCTTCGAGTTCCGAAGGGTATGTAAGTGAGTGAAGATAGGCTTGTAGCTTGGTACACACAGTGGGGTTGCTGGTAGGGCTCACAGCAAAGATGTTGTAGCGAGGTAGGGAAATGCCACTGCTAGCCTTGAAATCAAGGTGTTCAACCCAAAGAGAATTGATAAGATCTCATACCGCTGTAGAGACTGACATCTCTGTGGCCTCATAAAGAGCTAATTCTACAACACCCTAAACACCTTCCAAACACAGCACAACCCATATCCCATTCTGCACACTTGGTGCTTCATCAGCCGCTCGCGCGCACAGGCGCTTCGGTCGCGCATCAGCGCATGTATCCTTGGTTCCGTCACTCATCCTCCGTCCATCCATTCCATGTCCGTTCGGTTCGTCGGTGCGTATCCCTATTTTATTCTCATGTATTCTGACATATCTCCGGCGCTTGCGCACATATTCCGTATGTTTCGTCACGGACCCTTATTACATATCATCATGTATTCGCTTCGCTTTCTGGCTCGCTTTAGCGCTTGACAGCGCTTAACGCTACTTAGAATATATATATACCTTGCCTCTATGTAGAATGATTATCTTCTTCTTCCCGCACATCATTGGACTCTAAGTCTAAATCTCCGTCATATCCGCCAACCGACACTAAGTGCCAGGACTCTTACAAGCGTCAACCCGCATATTCTTATACCCGAACATCACCTTACTCGTTCCCTGACTCACTTAAGAGTCGCTGCGCTCCACCACCCGCACGTGCGCTTCGCTCTCACTCAGCGCGCGCCATCGCACTTGTCACTCAGTAGCGCTCCGTAGCGCTTTCGCTTATCGTGCTTCGCTCATCGTTGCACGCCCCACCAGGCTTATCCAACAGCCTGGTTCAGTGTTTCCCTCCACTATTATATATAGAGAAACCTTCTCAGTAGCAATCCCCTTGGGCCGACATTAGATTCGCACACAGAGGACCATCTGAGTATATCTCATACCACCCACTTTCTACCATTCTACATTCCTCACCTACACCGCAATGTGGACTTTCTCTCCAGGAATTTCACTTTCAGAGAGTATATCTCCGATGTCCCACCTTGTCACATCTTCTGTCCAGGTGTTGTGAACGGCAGATTTGACTGTGTTGATGTCTGTGGTGGAAAAGCCATGTAGGCAGAATCAAAGTGGTGGGGGAGTTTACACTGAACTGATGAGCTGCGAAGGAAATGTCTGTTGAGGACCATATGCATTGATTTGAGATTAAAGTCTTTGTCTCCTCAGAGATGTTGTACGCGAGGAAGCTGAGATGCTGGTTGGTCTCAACACTATTGGCTTCTGGGCAAGGTGGGGAGACTTTAACTTTCTGTTCATCTTGGTGAATGAAATAAGCGATTTCGATGATTGCCCTGCACAGGCGTTCAACAAGAATGGGTCCCTTCACAGAAGAGTTCTTGCCATTGTGGTCAAAGACTCTAATGAGAATCTTTAGGTGAGGGTCTTTCAACCATGCTGTGATTACTTTAGTGGCTTGGAAATCAAAGAGCTGTGCTATGTGAGTGAGGTGGATGTGGGGGAAGCCGCCTTGGAGGACTGGGGTGAACTGTGGTATGGCCGTTAGGGAGTTGATGCTGTTTGATCTAATGATGGATCTATTGGTTTCGGCAACAGCAAGATGTGCACGGAGGAGGTCTTCCTCAGTTGAGAGGGCAGGTATGGTAGTTTTTGGTGGGACAGAGGTTAGACTAGTCGATGGGGGAGGGAATGGTCCAACATGACTTCATCATCTGCGTCAGATGGGGGGTGGGGTGGGCTGTGTGAGGGGGGAGTAGGGAGTGTTTCATCTTCCATATCGAATGTAGAGGAGAGGGGTAGTATGGGGGTAGTGTCATGGTTGGTGATGGGTTCAGGGACCAATATGGGGGGGATGATGATCCTTGGGGTTGGGGATGGGGTGGAGAGGGTTGATGTGATCTCTGTCAAGGTGTCCCCTTCATCTGCCAGGACGTTGAGGAGGAATAATTGCAAACCAGAGTGTTGATGTCTGGGAAGAGGTTGTCTTGTTCCCATTGGGGATGGGCAGGTGCTGATGTTGGCTGTCTTTGCGCTAGATTGGTCCTTCATCTTCACTGAAGTGGTTGGAGCATGTGTTCGGGGTGTCTTGGATTATATAGGCCTTAGTTTTGTCAGGGGAGGTGGCCTCGTATTGAGGTTTTCGTTTCTTGGGTGGTTAGGGCTGTGTGAGGTTTGTGTTAGGTTTAATATGATGGGGGTGTTATCAGGCTTGCTGCGTGTAGTTCGCTCACAAGAGGCAATAGTAGTATTCACATTGCTTATTTTTGTCTTTCATGTGTTGATGGGGGTGGTTTATACGTACTCAGTTAGTCAGATAGTGCGTCTGGTGTTCAATCTGGTTTAGATTTCTGTTATTATTTTATATGGGTGTGTTGGGGTGCGATTTGGTTGGGTGATAGTGACTGCACATTTTTGCTTGTGGTTTTTGGGTAGTAAGGGTTTTTGATTTATAACTTGTGGTCGATAGTGTTGAAAACATGTGAGCATATGTGATTTTTTGGTGGGGCCAGGTTGTACTGTGAGCTTTCTAGCTCGACCTTGCCCGCTTTTTCAGCGTGGGAAATCCGTCCACTGGTGGTGGTACGGAAACAAGGGCCCCCATATCTTTCTAGTCTTCTTTTAGATTTGCTACATAGATATTTCACCAAACAATTATTTATAATCAAGAATGAATTTATTTGCATTGATTAATACATGGTACAAAATGTAGATAGCATGTGCAGGACAAGGTAACAAGAACAACAAGAACAACAAGAAAATACTCTCAATGAGCTTACATCACCTTCTTCATGTGACAGACTTGTGAGATCTGCAAAAGAATACCATGATCTTTCTAAATTATGCTGAGGATATACAACTTAGTATAACTTACCTCTTTGAAGCACTCCCAATCTTGTTAGTGTCCATCAGATGAGTTTATGGGAGGTATATCCAACTGCTATGACAGAACAACTGGTTGAGTATATTGTCAAATAGTTTGAGTGTCTCAGCAGTGCCTTCGCTCTTCACAATGCTTATAGACATGTTGGTGTAGGACTGTAGGTTTAAAACTCAGAGTGGTGCTATGGACTCCAAACTGATATCTTTATATTGTAGGTCATGTAACACTTAGTCTGCTATACTTGGTAAGATAAGTACATTCAATCCTAAAGAGGAAGCTAGTGCAGCAAAGGTCTAGAAATGGGTGCAGAAGATACTGCTTAGTGGCCAATGTCTCACACAGAAGAAAAGTAGCTGTATAAGTCACAATGCAGTGAACCTTGCAGATTCAAAGAGAGTGTGTGGCTTGCAGCAACAGGCATTGGTACCGTTGTTTGTGCAAGGCATAACTTCAAGCGACCATCAGCAAAGAGAGAGAAGTAAGTGATTTGTTGTTATGCTTATGGTTGCTAATGATGTCAAATTAGATACATCAATATAGACTATTTGTTCTTTTTGATAATGTCACATTTAAGCAAGATAGTTATCATCAACATCTCATATGACATCATATGTCAGTGAAACAAGTACCTTTGGGAGCACATGTCTCAGTATTCCTCCCACATTCATTTGGTGCATACCAGCAAGATAATCACATTCCTCATACCTAAATTTCACCTTCCTGCTCACATTGCCACATGTCAGTTAAATTTCTCATTTAATCTCATCAAAGGGATGACCAGAATGGATAGCAATATACCAGAATGTGGATGGTCCAACATAAATTCTGTGGCTACTAGCACATGGGAGATGGGACCTGGTTCGAGGTGTGATGTCCTTGATGATCACTTCGGTGACTGGAACTGGTGGAAGATGTCTAACTTTGGTATGTTTTTACTCTTGTCACTAATGGTCATCCAACTGATACTTTCAACAGGCATATTTTTTTTGCAAAAGCTCAATGATACCATCTCTCAATGTGATTAACATATTTTGGATCTTGTTGATTTTGAAGGTGCAATTCCATCTGAGAGCCTCACAATCTGGTGCATGATGGTGAAGGATTAGGAGACTGATTGATCTAACCACAAATTCATTCAACTCGACATCTTCACTAGTGATACAATCTTCTGTTCAACTAGAGCTCTCACAAGCAGAATCAGACCAGCTCAAATGTGGACTTGACATTTCCTTATACTCTGAGGTTTCACCTAGTGTCTTGATAGCTGTGAGAATTAAGCTTAAGACTCAGCAGTAAGCATTATTATTCTGTTGTTTTCTAACTTGACTAATAATTTTTTCTTCTTTGAGAGGCACCAACTTATTCATAAGACCTCAAGCATAGGTGCACATGCCACTGAAATTCAGCTATCTACACTGCAACAGCAGACAAACACACTACTACATCATTGAATTAAACACTGGATCAAGATTCAGACCCTATACATGTTGTGTGTTGCATGTCTTTGCAAGACAATTGATGCTACTACATCTGATAATGTGGAAGAAGATGTTCATAATATCAAGCTCTAGATGCTCTCTGCAATTGTCACCCACTCTCTATCTTATGAGATAAACCTGTTGCAAATTAAATGGAAGCTCCGTTGAGCTTAGGCACATGAAGTGTTGTATGAACTTCATCAGCACTTGTGACTCAAGCATCATCTTACCGGCTTCAAGAAGGATTGGATTACTTGTCAATGTGGACACACAAGGTCATGTGGGATCATCGACACTGTGCAGAAAAAGATTAATATTGCTGCAACTAAATATTGCATTGCTTGGGCCTCACTCGATGCTCTTGCTGAGCCTCTTCTGGAAATTGACTGGAAGACTGAGTTGCTCATGCTTAGGAAAGAGGATGTCTGCGGAATTACGGAGGACCAAGCAGCAGGTGAATATGTTTCTGAGAGATAAATGTTAGTATTTATTTCATAGATTTGAAAACAATGTTTTGGTGCTGGAGAAGAGAATCTCTCAGATGGTAAGTTTGCCTCATCATTTCACTATGTTCCTTTCTGAACCATGTTTTCTAGCCATGTGTATTGAGTGGTACAGGGCTTACACATACACTAACTGATGGTCCAAAGAGATAGAGCTATTGTAGGAGGAGATGCAATATATTCTCACATTCTTTGATTGACACATGACCTGGTGAATGGAACATACAACATTCAAGATATGGCTTAGGCCTGTCACTGCAGTTTTCTAAGGTGTAAAAGCAGTAATGGTGATAAGTTGCTAGGGTGAAGGGACTATCTATAGTAGATACTAGAAAAAAATATAGTGGTGCAGCAGCAGCTGGCTCAATGCTTAATAACATATAGAAAGATATCATCTAATAATAGTTTGAAAGGGGCTTTTTCATTTAGAAGCAGGGTCCCTATGAACTAAGCCTATATTTGATTACAGCTGCTTGCATAACGCTAGGCCAAAATAAAATTACTACATACACAGCAGTATTTAAATTTTGATGCTCCGATATGATGAGTAGTAGGTTCTAGGATGCTTGTAATCGGATGGGCGAAATTGGGCTCACAGGCACGATAGGAAAAATAGCGAGAAACTCATGTCCATCAGCAAGCTCACCCAAGCACCATTGACCTTTATTCTGGTAATGCAACAGCACCCTCAAAGGCTCCGCATGGTCAACATAGAACTGGGTGAACACAGACGAGATGGATCCATTGCGGCAGTCATCTTCAAAGAGTATGCCCCTCAGTTGAGCGTCATTCAGATAACTGATGGGGGAGGATTGCAGAATCCCCTTGGCATGTGCACGAATGAAGTCCAAGTCGACATCTTTGAGATCAGCCGCTTCATGTTGTTAGTTATGCTATCCGAAATCCATGAGTGATGACATCAACTTACCAGCATATTTCGCCAACGCATTGCAAGCAGCAGGGTGGGATGAGACCAGACCAACAATGTTGATGCGGGAGAATGGGGCATGGACTTTGAGTGTTTGCAAGAGCTGTGTCGCAACATAACGCTGACGGACTGCTTCATCAACAACAAGTTGAGTCACCCAGCCAACTTAGACAAAATCAGAAGGTGAACCTCGCGAGAGAAAGTTGTGCGACACCTACTTTTGTTTTCACCATAATTCCACATGGAAGCAAATGCATGACCACAGAGTTTGGGACATTCACTCTCAGACGGATCAACCTGGAGGTGGCAGGTCACCAGGACAGTATTCTCTGGGTGAGACAAACATTGGGCTCGAAGCCTTGCGCCGGTCATCTTCACCTTTTGCCCTATATAAAAGACTCAGCAATGACCAAGGATGTATATTGATTACTGACCAGCTTTGGTGAAACTAGAAATTTTGCTTGCTTCATCACCCCAAATACCGTAGTTGGAGCTGAAGAGCTCAGCACACGCCTTCAGTGTATCCTCCGAGACTTTATTGCCTACTGTTATTCTATAAGAGAACGAAGCATTGGAGGGAGAAGTCGGATTACTGGGGAGGGTAAGACGTCTGTTTGGTGGAGTTACAGGTGATGACATTGTTGTAGAAGGTGATAGAAAGGTGTTGTAATCTGTCGTGATATATATAAGCAAACATGGTCCGTGCGCGCGCTTGACACTCGCCAGTAAAATCGACTTAAAAAACAAAACAAAGTGATCATTTTCTATTCCGACGGGTTCACAGACATATGTGTCAATTATTATGGTACAATACAGTGAAAAAAAAAACTATAAGAGCCTCCTCGACACACAAGTTTGAAGCCCATCTTCCCAACCATGTCACCAAGTACTCCTCTGGGTTCTGGCACAGGCAACGCACCTAATATGTATCTTCATCCTCGTCACTATCCACCACCACAGCTGCCGCAGCACCAGCAGCAGCCGCCACAGCACCCTCAACCTTTCATGCAATATTACCCGCCAATGCCGCACCACTATGCACCACCTTTACACCATTATGCTCCACCACATTTTGTCCAGCAATATGCTGGCCAGCCCCAGTATCCACAGTACCCACCAATGCGACCGAATACTGAAATAATCCCAGCATCGTCAATGATGCAACCAAACTTGGAAGCTCCAGCAGTGCCAGCATCATTGAGAGCGCCAGCAGCACCAGCCTCGTCCCAAGCACCAGCATCGTCCCAAGCACCAACGTCGTCCCAAGCATCGAGGTTGCGACCGAATCCTGAACCGCGCCCTGGTGGTATGAGCTTGAATTTGCCACCATATCAATACTGACCGACTTACAGTTTTTAGTTTTGATATTGATGTTATTGCTGATGACATGAAGCGTGGCTTTCGTGGTGAGACAGACATGCCTTGGGAGGACTTCAAAAGTCGTGTTCTTGCATTCCTTGAGAGTGCTGCTGATGACGTCCAACTTGTGTATAAATTTGTGGGGGACAACAGTAGAGCTACTCAACTGAATGATGCGGAAGCATTCAGTATTGCCATGGACCGTCTTTGTCACAAAGCGTCCAATGCACGCACACGAGTCGTTGCCCTAGAGGTAAAGAATGCAGCAGTAAGTGATTATCTGCGTCACATAAATGAAAATAACTTACAGTTACCACAAGGTCAAACAGACTACTACCGCCAAAGCAAAAAAGAGGACACGCACAGATGATATCCCTCCAGCATCAAGTGACGAGGATGTGACGCAACTCAAAGCTTACAAACAGCTTGAGAGCCAGATTCGATGTGAACTTCACCACGGTCATTGTTTCGTAGATCGCACGAGTGGCTATGATAACCATCGTTGACTTGATCACGCTGAGATGACTCTCTGGGCTAAAAAGATTGTAAGTCTCGCATCCACAAGAGAGAGAAAAAAACTTAACTGGGTTAGGCTCTTGGTCACGCAACAATCTACAACCCACCTCACTGCCTCAATTTCGACCGCGGCCCAACCAAAAAGCCTCGTCACTCGAGGTCGGCATCATCACCTGAAGTCCATGTTACCATACAGAATATAACAGCAGATCCTACCGCAGCTAAGTCAAAGACACCCAGTCCTCCGCCGCTTTTGCAGCCACACCACTTTGATACCACAGCTTGGTCGAAGACTCCCAGTCCTCCGCCGCTTTCGCAGCCACGTCACTTTGAATCTGCAAGCCATATCCCTAGCGCATCATTTCCAGACTATCCAAAAGTTGGGGTGCTGCTTGAACTGATCAATGCTGAAAGACCAGAATTGCGACTTGCCGAACTTGAAACACCCCTGCTAGATGCAGGGGTAGTTTTATCGAGCCAAGTAATACTTCTACCGGAGGATGTGCTGAGTGTGATCGGCAATATGGGACAAAGGCGAGCCAGAATCCTCCGCAATTATGCTAAATGGACTGTTCTACCGCTCCTTGGACTCGTCAATTCCTACGAGGAACCAGAGATACCCAGCCCAGGGACTCAGAATAAAGGCAAGGAACGCGCTGTCGAGGCTGAGGATGACATGTGGCAGGAAGGAGAATCACGGACTGATGGGTATAGAAGTGGCGAGTCTGACGAGTACACGAGCGATGATGAGACCGAGGGGCATGAGGAATTCCTGACCTGATACAAATTAATCACTTAGTAACATAGCACTGCTGGCAGTTTCAACACGCCTGCAAGGGTAGTTTCAACACACTCCATAATGACCCCACCATTACGCAATATATTCGCTATGCTTGTACCAACCATGAGCCTTTTCACTTGTGACAACGCCATACACAGCTTCCCATATCAAAGTGTATGGGTCGCAAGCTGGACCCTCGGTCTCACCAAGGACATAGTCACGGTTTGAGCGAAGCCAAGCCTTGATGGCCGAAAAGGCCTCCTCGATAGGATTCAAATCGGGTGAATAAGAGGGCAGGTACAAGAGCCGCATACCACTATACACAAAAGAGAATCAGTATCATTGAGCATGAGATAAGGACTAGCATACCGCTCTTCAACCATGTCACGAATACCTGGGACTTTGTGGATGCTTGCGTTGTCCATGACCAACACCGAGTTTGGCATGGGCCAGGGCTGCATTTGGTCTAATACACCAGAAACAAAATGCGCGAATTCTTCACCAGAGAACGAATGGTCTAGAACCTCCAAATGCAGGATACCGTTGAGTGATAATGCTGGAAGAATTGAATATCTAACAAAACATCAACGCATTGACAAGAGAATTTCTACAAAAGTACCTTTTGCCACGTATAAAAAAGTCCCGCCGTCATGCACGCTGTCCAATAGGAGCCCAAGCAAAATCACGGCGAAGGGAAATTTGGTTGAAATGACATTCATCTGCAAATACAAGGTGTTCTGGCTGGAAATGTTCCCCTATAAGCATCTTGAAGGCAGCACGATCATCTTCGTCACGTTCGACAGAAGGGCGTGTAACCTAGACAGTGCTGTATTGAATCATACATATCAGTAAGGACAAGTGAGTGATGACCTACCTTCTTCCATGTAAACCCTCGCCTACACATCGTTCTTGAAATTGTTGCAATCGAGACTTCAGAACCACAGATCTCCCGCAGCTGATCTTGCATTTCGGTGAGGAGAATATCTGGTTGTCGCTCAATGCATGCCTCGAGGAACTAAGGAGTCACATATGAGTAATACTAAAATTAAACAATAACTCACATTTGCATCGAGGGAATTGAGGACGCGAGGTCGACCTGCACAAACTGGTGTCCTCACGACTTCGCCAGTCTCCCGAAATGTCTTCCGGATGTAGCGCAGTGAACGCTCACTTATGCCAGTGTAACGACGGATCATTGGATCCCGAATGCCCAGCACGCTCATTTGCAGAGCAATCTGCTTTCGTTCCTTGGATATGTGTCGTCCCATCGTGGATCAAGATCAAGTGTCGGGAGTTGAAATGTTCAGGATCCGACTTGTTGCCGAGTGTATGTATTTTTTTTGCTTAGGCCTAGCGTTATGCAAATGGCTGTAATTCACCAAAGTTTTACATTTGGTCATCTCTATCTAATACTATACTCTTGATCTCATTTATTGAAGCTGTTATAGAAGACTATCTGAGTTCATAACAAGTAGTAAGACCTGCTAATTTTGATGCTTCTTGCTAGGCTTCCTTGGCTAGCATCATCTTACTAATAAGAGTCTAAGAGAAAGGTTTTTATATTACAATTAGACAGTGATAAATTGAAGTGATGATGCCAAGCAAGTCCTGTGTGATCTTCTCAAAATTACTAGCTTTTAATTATTAATATGAACCATTTGAACCTTTCCTGAACTTTAGTGGCTTTGTTTCTTCATCACTATTCTATAGTTAACATTTAGTTGTAACAACCTTTGGTAAAGTATCATTGACCATTGCTTTATTGCAATGGTTGCTAGTGTAATTATAATTAATGTTGCTCAGTTTGTATTCATCCTTGCTGTCATCACCAGGGGCCATGGCAGTTATAGAAGCTGAACCAAACAGTGTTAATATTATATAGCTAAAGTCATAGTACCTTCATATGACTTACTAAATGACTTTGGAGCTGAGATGCTCTGAATTATGTTTGTACTTAAGTAGTCCTTATCAAAAGACTTTGGGGCAAAGATAGCTGCTCATATTAGACATGAGCTTAGATATCTTGATAAGTACACAATAATCTGAGAACTATAATATCATAGTGAGTACCATAGTAGTGGAAAAACAATACTGACTATCTTTTTCTCTTCTAAGTCAGTATCACTAAGAAGCTCTGCAGGCTCATCATTAAATTCATTGAGTATGCAGCATATAGTACCTTCAAGTTGTACTGTGGGGATGTCTAGTGCCGATACAAACTGTCAAAGACAGTTTCATTAGCAACAGCTTAGAACTGCATGAAGACTTGTGGATTTTGCTGGACTACTTCCAAAAATGGGCAATATGTTGATGGTTATGAACAAGAGGATGATGTCAATTACTGACAGAAAAATTCCTCTCTGCATGGTATATACTAGAATACAAAATGCAAAAATGGTCAACTTTGAATCCTATGAAACTCAATGAGAGACAATTGATGTTGGGAAGATATACCATGACATGGTTCTATGATGAGTCTATGTTCTATGCACATGACCATTGCCAAAAGCAATGAGTACATGAAGACAAAAAGCATATTACAATCCAAAGGATAAGAAGAATCTCTCATGGCAGTAGACTTTGTATCTGCTGACTACAGCTAGTTATGGTCATACAATGGAACACAATAAGATACATCCTCTTCCATGCAGGAAAAGCAAAAGATGGATATTTTATGAACAATGAAATTATTCAGCATGCTGAAACAGCAATGATAATCTTAGAAAAAATTATCCTAACAACAATCATGGATTTGTTTTCAATAATACTTCAACTCACCTAAAAAGAGCTCATGATATAATATCTGCTCATCAGATGCCAAAAGGTTGCAAACAATGAGGGATCAATGCACTAGTATGCAACACACAAGGAAAATTAATGCATGATCCTGATGGGAAGCTAATGAAGCAGAAACTTCACATGGCCAATAATTTCCATAATGGAGCACCCAAGGAGTTTTATTAGCCAGAGGGGCACAAGAAGTCAGGCATGTTCAAAAGCATGGCAACCATTTTGATGGAGCATGGTTTTGATGTCAAAAATTTAAAGTCTTAATATAAAAACTTTTAGTGTGCTGCTGGAGTAACTGATTGCTGCTGCTGTTAAATTCTCTATAGTTAGCCTGACTCCACAAATGTTAAGTCATTCTTGGAAGCTACTTACAAGGCCAGAAATTTTCAGGTCATTTTTCTTCTGAAATTCCATTGCAAGTTAAACTTCATTGAGCAATGCTGAGGCTTTGCAAGGTGGCTTTGTCACACCTACCCCATGTTGATGAAGAACAGTGACCTAGAGATTAATGTATTTAAGGTGCTAGATTCTGTCCCTATTGCCAGCATGTGGAGGTAAGATATCACATAATTTGGAAAATGAAATGTTTTCTGATAGAACTGTGCAGGTTTGCAATGAGATCACAGACTTTATGGATGCTTATTATAGAGGCCTAAATAGGAAGTAAGCTGCTTGGGCAACAAAAAAGTATTGTGGACATTATGTCCTTCCTGATTCAATCCTGAGTGAGCTTGATTCAGCAAAGATACTAGAAGTAATTTTTTTTAGTATTTACCTAGTATACAGTACATTATCTATGTTATGATCAAACTACACCGTTTACTTGCAAGTACAGTATCTTCATGGTGCTGTCCATAATAGGAACTCTTTTCGGTCTTAAAGGGATTACCTGTCCAGCCAACACGTATATCACACCTTGGTCACAGCATGTGAGGTTTGCTGAAAGTGTGCGAGGTCTACATTATTTGCAACTACTTATAGTGTGTCCTGCAGTTGACTTCATCTTAGCATAGACCTCATTCTAGGCCTTCAAAGTAGATTTTCTAGCAGTCTTCTTTGAGCTTGCTTTTGCAGGCATGATTAAGGGTAAGTAGCAATAGCAATAACATAAGTAACAGTCATACCCTTTATAAACCTTGTCATGACATTCAATCAACAAGCAAATTTTAGAGTTTTATTGATTTGAATGTAATTTCACTGACAGGTCTAACACTCATCTCATGTTAATCAAAGTTATACTCTTTATTAGCATAAACTGCTAGGCCTGGTATATCTCCTTCAAGCTGACTATATTATGTAGTTTGTGTTCTAGGCTAGGCTAACTTAAAGACTAAAAAGGGTCCACACCCTCCTGAAGTTCTGTTCCTAGTACAACCATAACATCAAACCCCAGGACCCATCTGAGTGTCATAGACTTACCTTTGAACATTTATATTAGAACACTAGGATGCAGAGATAAGGCACTATAATGAGACATGCAAAGTTCAACTCTTAGAACACATGCAGGGACTAGTAACTCACTAAAAAATTGTGTGGAAGGTTATAGTATAATGTCAGAATATAGAGAAGAAGTAGTACAAAAAGGCATATAAATTCTATCCTTATTAGATACTTACCTGCAGGAAAGCTTCTCAGCAATATGTAATCTAGAGTCAATGAAAGACATTCTAGAAAGATTGGAACTCTATTATGTAATGTGGCATGAGTAAAAGATTAGAGTAAAGTCTTCAAGTGAACAAAAGACATGACACCAAACCTCTTGTTTCCGTGTCGCAATCATTGTCTGTCTTTGCAAAGCTCCCGCTGCTCAATTGGTTTTTTCTACTAAAACAATCACACAACAAACATGTCTGAATAAACTACACAAGTTCTCTCTCATAATAAGCCGAGAATGCCACCAGGTGCAGATCCCACACTCAAAGTAATGCCAGACTTTGCCAGCACATTATATGGAGGCATCTGTGTGGACCTGTCTGCAGCAGCAAACTAAACTGAAGAGCAAGTCATAGCACACCTCAAACAGGTGTAGATGGAGGAAAACAATGCAAGAATAGCAGAGTGGAACCAGATCTGGGAAGATGAAGCTCATGCTGCAGCCAACACTGAAAGAGCCCGAGCAGCCCAGGAAGAAGTCGAATGAGCACAGCTTGAAGCCAAGGTTGAGAAAGAAAGGTTAGATGCAGAAAAGAAGAAGCCAAAGATGAATGGATTCGACAAGACATCATCCATAGGAGACTTCTTAACCCCGCGCCCTGCCCAATATGTAATACAGAAGCTCACCAATTTCGAATTTGTAGAACTATGGTACTTCTCACCAGACGGATGCAAGGAAGCTCTCAGGTCCTCCCACTCCATCGCAGAGAATGACTTGAGCATCATGATGATAGATGACCAGCTCACTCTACGCCCATCCTCAGCATTAAAAGCCTCCAAAGCAGCACTAGCAGATCACAAACTACTGTTTTCAAATTTCCTCCGGGAAAAGAACCTGTTCCTAGTGCAAATCAGCAAGGCCGAATGGTGTCATATCCCGCATTGCGGACCAACATCCGATGACGTTCCCACACCTCATCCGGACCTCCAGACCTCCTGTCCATATCTCCAGACCCAATCCTCTATCCATCCGGATCCCTGAACTCCTGCATCTGATATCCGGATGCCAGATCTGATATCCACATCTTCAGATCTCCAGATCCGACCTATGCTTCATATCCGAACCCAAACCTTAAATCAGCGCTCATCCCCTTATGGTAATCACCTGTCTCTGGACTTCCGAACATCCGGATCCAACCCGCGTCTATCTTCCGTGCCTTTTCCCTTTGTATGTTCCTTCTCAAGTTAGACTATACTCATTTTCCGTACCTCATTTCATTTCCGGCTTTATTTTCCTATGTTCTCATCTCTGTCTTCATTTATTATTTTCTACATGCTCCGTCCACAGCCTCACATAGCTTCGGACTGCACTGACTGATTCTCCGTTAAGTTCTCAGTAGTATATAAACCCTGTAGAATCTTTGTACTTCCTTAGTCTGAATATTACACATATTAGTCCTCGCACTAGTCTTCACACTAAGTCCTCGTAACAGTTCTATTCCTCCGACTTAGTCATTATCCATCTCAGGCCTAGGGAGGAATTCCCTAGGCCAGAGCTCCGATCCTCCACTCCTCCGATCCTCCATTCCTCCAAGTTTCCGGAAGTTCCTCCGGACCTATTCTGCTTTGGACTTTGTCCTTGCAGCCTTTCCTCTGTTTGCTTCTACTCAGGACTTGTCCTGAGTAGCCATTACACATATCCCTGTCAGGACGAAACTCCATTGTAATTTCTGGAAGTTCCTCAGGAACTTTCCCGCACTCATCCGGAAAGTCCTTCCGAAGTTTCCCACACTTCTCCGGAAGTCCTTCGGACTTCACTGGACTTTCTCCGGACTTCATTCTGAAGTTAAGGGCACATACTCGGGTAAGGGGCGCAGCGCACGAGCTGAAGCCAAGCCCCTTGGAATCAGTCCTACCCTTTGTGCATGGTTTTAACAGCCTTTTCCCTTTGTATGTTCCTTCTCAAGTTAGGCTAACTCATTTTCCATACCTCATTTCATTTCCACCTTTATTTTCCTATGTCCTCATTTCCGTCTTCATTTACTATTTTCCGATAGACTAGTGTTAGATGTTTCTACATCCTCCGTCCATAGCCTCGCATAGCCTCGGACTGCGCTGACTGATTCTCCGTTAAGTCCTCTGTAGTATATATACCCTGTAAAGTCTCTATACTTCCTCAGTCTGAATATTACACATATTAGTCCTTTGTTAAGACCGTGCACAAAGGGTAGGACTGATTCCAAGGGGCTTGGCTTCAGCTCGTGCGCTGCGCCCCTTACCCGAGTATGTGCCCTTAACTTCAGAATGAAGTCCGGAGAAAGTCCAGTGAAGTCTGAAGGACTTCCGGAGGAGCATGGGAAACATCGGAAGGACTTTCTGGATGAGTGAGGGAAAGTTCCTGAGGAACTTCCAGAAATTACAATGGAGTTTCGTCCTGACAGGGATATGTGTAATGGCTACTCAGGACAAGTCCTGAGTAGAAGCAAACAGAGGAAAGGCTGCAAGGACAAAGTCCAAAGCAGAATAGGTCCGGAGGAACTTCCGGAAACTTGGAGGAATGGAGGATCGGAGGAGTGGAGGATCGGAGCTCCGGCCTAGGGAATTCCTCCCTAGGCCTGAGATGGATAATGACTAAGTCGGAGGACTAGAACTGTTACGAGGACTTAGTGTGAAGACTAGAACTGTTACGAGGACTTAGTGTGAAGACTAGTGCGAGGACTAATATGTGTAATATTCAGACTGAGGAAGTATAGAGACTTTACAGGGTTTATATACTACAAAGGACATAACGGAGAATCAGTCAGCGCAGTCCGAGGCTATGTGAGGCTATGGACGGAGCATGTAGAAATGTCTAACACTAGTCTATCAGAAAATAGTAAATGAAGACGGAAATGAGAACATAGTAAAATAAAGGCAGAAATGAAATGAGGTACGGAAAATGAGTATAGTCTAACTTGAGAAGGAACATACAAAGGGAAAAGGCATGGAAGATAGACGCGGGTCGGATCCGGATGTTCGGAAGTCCAGGGACAGGTGATTACCATAAGGGGATGGGCGCTGATTTAAGGTTTGAGTTTGGACATGACAGATAGGTCGGATCCAGAGATCCGGAGATGTGGATATCAAATCTGGCATCCGGATATCAGATGCAGGAGTACAGGGATCCAGACAGATAGAGGATTGGGTCTGGAGACATGGAAAGGAGGTCCGGAGGTCCGGATGAGGCGTGGGAACATCGTCAGATGTTGGTCCGGAATGCGGGATATGACATCCTTGCACTAGCCTTCACCCTAAGTCCTCGTAACAGTTCCAGTCCTCCGACTTAGTCATTATCCATCTCAGGCCTAGGGAGGCATTCCCTAGGCCGGAGCTCCACTCCTCCACTCCTCTGATCCACCATTCCTCCCATCCAAACCACTCCCTTCCTTTCATACACTGTTTCCCTGCATCTCCAAATCACTCCCAACATGCCTTGGATGCCCATGATCCATCACACGGATGCCTGTGAACCATCCCCGTGAATGCCCATGATAACACATCACATGGATGCCCATGACACATATCCCATGGATGCCCATGTCCACATCTACATGGATGCCTGAATGCACACGACAGACGATCACAACCACATGGCATAACACCGCCATCCAACACACTCCCACACAGTCCATAAGCAGAGACACACCAGTAAACCAATATTGCAAGTCCAGCTACCAGGACTCACAAGGAGGAAGCTATGACTACACAAGTCGAGACTCCTGTTCATGTTCTCCTCCATGAGAAGCAGAAACCCCAAAGGAAAAGAAAATTGCATCACCTGAGAAGAATCACAACCGCCAACAATGACGAAGGGGTTTTTCCCAGGGTGCAGGCTCACACAGCCTATCTGCCTGCGCCCTCTGACTTGGCCAATTCTCTCATGACATCTGTCGCTGTGAATCTCACTACCTTTGGGATGGTTCCAAGACCCATTGCTGAAGGGCAGAAGATGGTCATCTCATCAGCCCCCAAGGCTTGCCCATCTGCCACAAATGGCAATGACCAGGGAGCTGCCAAGAGTCAAACCACGAAGCATCACACAAATGCTCTGGATGTGGAAGCAAAGAGCATGAAGCTCAATCATGTCCTTGCGGTGAGAAGGCTTAGAGGCCACACATCATATAAACCAGAGGTATGGTTTCACCTTCTGGAAGAGTCAAACCTCCTCTCCAGGTACCCCACCATTCCAGAGGGACTCACCCAAGGTTTCTCTGGAGGAATACCCCCAATCACATGCACATATTTGCCCCCCAACAGTGACACGATCACTATGTACAGAGAGTGCTGTTTGAGCTCTATGTGAGCCTGCGAACATTTTGCTCAAACAAGTGCTTACTAAGCGAGTGAACACGTATTGTAAGATGCTGTTTTGCAAACATGCGTCTTTCATCTCGCTTTCTTCTCGTGTTAGCTCGCATAGTTTTTGTAAAGGTTTACGCCATTCTCGTTTATAATGTCTTATGTCGCGTCAAATTCTGGTTTACCGAGCAGGGTTGGGGGAAAAGACATGTCAACCCTAAACCCTGGCGGCCCAAGCCAAAATCAATCTGACACCAATAGAATGGTCAAAGGAGTAGTTAGAAGTAGGAATCGCAACACTGTTACCTCGTGCGAAGCCATTGAACACGAAAACACCGCATGTTCCGAGCAAAACAGCGACAGAGCAGATCGAAGGCAGGTAACCTTGGGGCATGTGTCTGATGACGAAGACTTGCTTGATTTGCTGGACAGCAAGACAAGGGTCCGCTACGGCCCTTCCAAGGCCTTCCATGAAAACACACCGCTCATTAACACGTTTAGCGTTTTCAATGCCCTTACCCCACATTCACATGATGCCTTCCAGGAAGCTTTGGTACGTAAAGCAGCTGCTGGCAAGGCTAAACAACAGCCGGATCCACCTGCTGCGGAAGCAGCCATTGCACCTGCAGCGCCCATTCTCCCCTATACTGATGATGATGTCAAAATGGTCTCATCCATTGATGATGTTTATGAAATACCCCACTGAAGGTTCAATGATACTGCAAGGCACAAACGAGGCTCCTGACTGTATCTATAAATGTTGTGAGGTCACACATTGCCTAGTCTGCTATACTTGAGACGATAAGTGCGTTCGACCCTAAAGGGGAAGCAAGTGCAGCAAAGGTCTAGCAGTAGGTGCTGAAGGTGCTACTGGTTGGTCAATGCGAAGCGCGGGAAAGCGCAGGCGCGCACAAGGCACGAAGGCATGGGAAAGTGTGCGTGTGTATAGAGATATGAGATGTAAGTGCTACTTTCTAGGGAGAGATTCCAACTAAGCTGAGTTGTGTAGTGTGAATGAACATGGGGGTTGCTAAACTACTTCCTGGTATGTACTACTGGCACTTATATATGGTGCCTAAGGGCTGTCATGCAGAGCCGAAGCGCTACCGAGTAAGGTATGTAAAGATATATGTAAGTAAGGGTCCATGATAAAATAAAGGTGGAACAATATGCAAATAAGAGAAATGGAAATATACGCACTAGAGAGCTTGGTGGACAGTGGATGGATGCTTCCGGATGGCTGGCACTATAGGGCGCTCAAACGCGGGAAAGGCGCGAGAATGTGCGCGGGAAAGCTGCGCCTCATATAGGAATAGCTGTGGATAGCATGCAGAGTGATGCTACAAGTTCATGCCATGTACTCCCTAGTGAAAACTGCCATATCACATAATGAGAGGCACAAGTCTCTACACCGCGTTATAATTAACCTGGCTCTCGCCAAGATGCACATGCCTCTTACCCTTCTAATGGCAGAAGCCATGGAGTGCATTCACATGGATCCTTCCTGCGTGAAGATGAAGAAGGGTATCATTCTTGACGACCCCAAGAGGTCCATCATGGATGCTTCGTCCTTCCCGCCGGAAACCTCACTCCCCCCAGCTCAGTTCAACGAAGCTTCAAAGAATTTCATCAACTTGCTTGCGCATGTGGCCAGCCCACTCATTATCGAGCATTTCAAACAACAGCATGACTTCTGCTTATCATGCAAACATTTTGACGAAAAATTTTAAGCCATCCTCACTTTCGACATTGAAACTTGCAGAATCTTCTTCAATACCAAGACATTCTTCATGGATGAAGCTTACAAGAACTGCTGGAATGAGATCCAGATGAAGGTGGCCCAACTGAAGTCAGATGAGGCTGCAGCCAATGCCAACCACGAAGCAATGTGAATCGCCGCACTCGTTTCACGCCTAGAAAGTTCTGGTGGCAGCAACCGCTACAACCCGTACCCACAGAAGTACAAGACTGAAAGCACCAACTCCAGCTCAGACAGCAAGTCCTTTCATAAGGGCAAAGGGGCCTCATCCGACGGATCCCTTTGCCTTCTCTGCGGTTGGAACGGCCACAAGGCCAGTGACTGTACTTTCACCCACACGGCCAAAAACGCCCCCGTTGTTTGCGTCTGGCAAGACCAGATCATTCTCAAATCATCATCCACTGTCGTCTGCATCTTGCACAACATTGGAAAGTGCACCCCAGGCAGACACGGCTCCGACATCATCCATGTTTGTTCCATATGTGGGAGCAAAGCCCACAGGGCCTCATCTATGTCATGCTGAAAGTGTTCTGAATTGCGTCGTTACTCCTTATGATGCAGATGCATTTGAGTGTCTCCTGCACAAGTTCAAACTCACCTCTCGTTACCCTGACTTAGCTCACAACATTAGACACAGATTCCCCATCGGCAACATGCCCATCTTGACATGATCGTACACCCCACCCAACCACAAGTCAGCCAACGACAATCCATCGGTGATATGTGATTACCTTGCCGAAGAAGTTTCCCTCAGGCGCATGTCAGGCCTGTTATCAGCATCACAAGTCAAATCAGAACTCAGAACTTCTTTGTTTCTTGCCTGCTGGGACTCGTCAAAAAAGCTGGCTCTCCCAGGAAATTTCACATCATCCACGACCTTTCCTACCACAACAAGGACGACGGGTACTTGGTCAACAACCATCTTGACGCTGATGACTTCCCCACTGAGTGGGGTACAGCCTCACAAGTGGCTGAAATTGTAAGTCTTCCCTCTTTCTTTGAAACTCGGTGCATATATGCACAGGGTATTCTCTCCATTTTGTGCGGACACTGTCTAGTGTCCACACTCTTCTTTGTGCAGGCGCTGTCATGCACCTCGCCTCTTCCTTGCAAGATTAGTGCTTGTCTGCGTCCGTCTGCGCTCTTTCGCGCTTGTCTGCACCCCCTTTTTGTGCACACATTGTCACACGTGCTGCCTCTTCATTCCGGGTCTGACTCCCATTCTTCCAGATCACGACTGCACCTTTAGGCATGCAAGCTGCAACATTAGACATTGAGGCCGCTTACCGTATGGTCCCCATTTGGCCACCTCACAAAAAGTTCCTTGTAGTAGGATTTGACAGTTCATTCTGGATTGATCACAATTTCCCTTTCGGTCTCACAACCGCTGGTGGTGTTCAAGGCCATGTAGCCGATGCCACCGTCAACATACTCCACGCAATGGACATATCGCCCATCAAGAAATGGGTGGACGATCATGCCATGTTCAGATTCCCAGTAGCAGCAGGTGTTCTGGGCCCAGACGGCTCCTTCTCTCCGTATGAGTACCTGTTCGACTTACTCAAGATCTTCAAGGCCATGCGGCCCATGGGCATCCCGTGGCACCCTGACAAGTGCACCAACTTTGACACTATTTTCATGTACTTAGGGTTCCTGTGGGACTTAGTGGAGCGCTTGGTGTCTCTCCCAGAGATGAAACATCTCAAATACTTAGCCAAACTGAACACCATAATCTCCGCCCTTTCCAGATCAGCATTCATGGGACGCTGTCTCATGTCGCTTTTGTAATCCCACACGGTTGAGCCTTCCTTTCAAACCTCTCTCACTTCACTTCAATGTTTCCGCGCAAGGCATGATTCACTCGGCAAAAACCACCACCTTCAGTCATCAGCGACCTCAAGTGATGGCACAATGTACTCAGCACCACATCACCTCCTTGTATCCTCACCCCAAGAGGACCTCCACAAGACATTGATCTGTGGGTAGATGCTTCAATAGACTGGGGTATTGGGCTTACCTTAGGGGATCAATGGAACACCTGGCGCACTGTCAATGGCTGGAAGGGAGGAGGAAGGGACATCAGCTGGCTGGAGGCCATCACAGTAGAGCTGGCAGTTCCAACTCTGCACTCAGCCGGTTGGAAAGACCACTCTGTACTGATCTACTTGGACAATCAAGGCATCATAGGCGCCTTCAAGCACAGGCATAGCAGAAATTTCCAGGTAAACCTATGCTTTAGACGCATACAAACAATCGCTATGAAGTCCAACATACTATATCACCTCTCATATGTCAAGTCACTAGCCAACAAGGTGGACCCCGTTTCTCGTGGCGAGATGGGCCCAGCTAGCTCTCGCTTACCCTTCATCCAGCTGCCTGTGGAGCTGGCACCATTCATCGTATCTTATGTCTGACACCCTGCATCTTGAGTCAGCCGATGCTGACTTGGTGTCAGTTATGGTGCAACTTCGGGACACCTTGAAGAGGCAACCCAAGGTTGGAGTGCCGCCCATTACTGTTCACAGATACTCTAAACCCAGAAAGCCAAAACCACTCAACATTATCGCACCATCTCACTACCGTCCTCATGTTCTTGCACACGACAGAGTTTGTCTCTGGTCCATTCCACATTCAGACTCGTTTCACTCCACTTTACTCAATGATCTCCCTCTTGACACCATGTCTAACCTCCTCGATGTAATTTTGATATCTGTAGAACCAAAAACATGTGAGAATTATGGTGCAGGCTTGCTGCACTTCCACCAATTCTGTGTTTCCATTTCCATCCCTGAAGACAGATGCTTACCAGCATGGTCATGTTGCAGGTACTATCCTGCTCCTTGCTTCAATCACATTTATTAACCTCATATCAGACTTGGTGAACTCATAATTCCTTCCTTGAACTCATTTGACCCTACGCACCATGTTTCACATTCTGCTATCATCTCTTATCGTGTGACCCCCAGCGGAGCCAGGTACGCATCATTCCACATCCCCTGGACGAAAACGACACACGGAGAGGGAGACTTCATCACGGTTTCAAGGATTGACGATCCCACAAACCCTTATGATGCCCTCGTTCATCACATCGCTGCCAATTCAGTTGTTACTCCCTCCGCACCTCTCCTTGCCTTCGAAACTCAGTCAGGATGGGCACCAATGACTCGCGCATGGTTTCTCACTCGGTGCAACAATGTCTGGAAGTCAGTGTTAGTTATATGATCATTCACCTCTACAGTATGCATTTCTATGTCTTTTATGTGTCTTATTGTGCCTTCATACTCATAGCATTATTCCTGACACTTGACTTACTATTTACATGACTTCCTGACCTCCCTAGGACGTCTCTAGGTCGAGTTATTACTTACTCTTTGATTGTGGCTTGTCTGTTTACATTTGTTTACCATATGTTGCCCATATCCCAGAGTCCACTGCTCCCTGCCTCTTTGGCAACTTACTCTGGACTCTAGGTACTGTACAACTTTACTACACCATTCAATAGATTGGCAACTTACTCTGGACTCTAGTCTGATCTCTTCTGGCCTCTCAGTAGCCTCTAGAAGCGGCCCACTTCACTCCCATCTTAACAGTCAGAAGGTTTGGAGACCCTATCTGGCCACTGCTTTTGGATTAGGGGTGCAACAGAACTCTTGCTCAGAGGTACACCTCCCAACATCGTAGTGGTGCAAGGTTGCTGGAAATCAAGATCATTTTTGGACTACTGGCGTCGAATTGAATCTATTCGCCCTACCTCTATCGCTAGTTCAATGCAAGACTCTCGTATATCCCTTATCAAAGCTTCTATGGACTCTTACGAGCGCAGATACAAGTAGATTATCAGTCCCGCAATCCAATGCTTTTTCCATTAACTCACAAGTCTTCATAAGTTGGGGTTCAGCGTTTTCTGCATGACTCAGGTGTAAGCACTTGCTCATTTTGTGCTTGTTTTGGGTTGTGTCATGTTTCAGAAAACTTCCCAAATACCTCTGCTTCACACTCGAGGTTTTCTGGCTGTGTCTTTCCCCCAGGTCAATTGCTCTGGTGCACTTCTTCTTGCGCGCATTTATTCTCGTCTTTCGTTTGCCTTAGACAAATAAATCACCTTTTGTGCCCTTTTCGTGCGCTCCTTATGTCGTCTTTCGCTCACTCTAGACGAATATTTCACTCACATTCTCGTTGACCCGGCAGAGATCTTTGTCTGCACTGCCCAGCAAAAGCTGAAATAGACTGCAGCCAAAACCCCACCCCCAACTGAAGAAACTTGTGTCAATGCTACTACTAGCATCTAGCCTTCACTGAATTCATATCTTAAATACTTCATTCAGTAGCCTAGTAGTACCACTAGCAGAGTCTGTGAGAATTAGACATACATCACATTGTTAAATTTATCCTCCGATTTCGCAGACTCCACCTTTGTCATAGCCCAACAAGCAATAGTAAGCAGTGTTCCAGAACATTGTCAAGAATGAGTACTCCAAAGGTCACTTCATCGGACCATTCACAGCAAGAGAACTCAAACTTGCCATTGGCAATTTCCAAACAGCTCCACTCTCACTCATACCGAAACCTGGCAAAGTTCAGACTCATACAAAACTTATCTTATCTCATCAACCTGCACCCCCCCCATTAGCTCCATCAATTCTTGTGTCAACTCTGACTTCTTCCCATGTACATACAGAACATTTGAGACCATCTGCCAAATAATATGGCACCTCCCACCTGGGTCACAAGGCGTCATACACGACGTCACAGAAGCTTACAAAACCATCCCACTCCATCACTCATAGTGGCCAGGACTGGTGATATGGCTTAACAAAGACACCTTTGCCATCAACATCTCATTCTGTTTTGGCTTTGGTCCATCAGCTGGCATCTATGGTAATATGGCTGACGCCGGCACAGACATTTTGAGGTCTAAAGGAATTCGACCCTTGTTGAAATAGGTCGACAATCACATCTTCTTTCGCATCAAGAGAGCGTACATGGAGGAGTATAATAGACAATGTCGAAGGTCAGCAGACAGGATTGCGGAGAACAGAGGCACCATCACAGATGGGGGCCACAAATGGTATAAAGGAGGGACCTCACCAGATGGATCAGTCAAAGAATTTGATGAAGACACCAGATTCCCCATCCAAGACTTATCAGCATGATCCTCATGCTCTAACAAAGACACCCAATTCATGTATTGCATGCAAGACATTGACGATGCATCATCCAGCATAGGCATTGTATGGGAGATGTCGAAAGACACGCTCTTTAGCAATGAGCCCTAATACAGTGGCTTCGACTAGAACATTGCCAAGTAGACAGTCACCTTATCCGGAGAGAAATGGGTTAAGTACCTCAAAGCCATCAGATTGTGGCAATCAAGCAGGACTCACACATTACAGGAGATCCAAAAACTTGATGGCAAGCTCCTTTACACATGCCATATCAAACCAGTGGGATGTGCTTACCTCACAACCCTGGAAAAGATGTTGGGCATTTTTGAAGACCACCCGCACATGGCAAGAACCCCTCCGCAAAGCACTACAAATATCATCAAATGGTGGGAAGAACTCCTCACCTCCCACCATGTTGTCTCCCCAATACCCAGCCCATGTATCATCTACAATTTTCTTGCCTACTCGGACACTAGTTCTGGTTATGGGATTGGGATAATTGTCAATGGGAAGTGATGCGCATGGAAGCTCTCTCCCAACTGGAAGAAAGACGGATGAGACATTGGATGGGCAGAGTGCATTGGATTTGAACTCCTCATACAAACCATTACGAGAGCCTGCCCCCCCAGAACTTACTTCAAGTTTACAGCGACAACCACAGGGTCATTGAGGGATGGTGGAAGGGATCCAGCAAGAGCCAAGCCTGCAATGAAGTGTTCAAGTGAATTCATTGGATCACTGCCAATACCTAATACCAGATTCTTACTAGGTATATCCTAAGCAAAGAGAACCCCACAGATGACCCATCACACAGAATATACCCCCGGCATCTGAGCAGCTCCCTCTCATCCAAATCCCACCAGAACTCATGACTTTCCTCATAGAAGCCCCCGAGCATCAAGTTCATCACTCAAACAACCCACCCACACATCCTATCACATGTGCCATCACCCCAGACTTCACCTCCAATGAACTGCTTCACCCAGTGGACTCAAAATATGGAGAAGAGGAGTTTGAGTGGAGGAATTCCCTAGGCCGGAGCTCCGCTCCTCTGATCCTCCATTTCTCTGAGTTTCTGAAAGTTTCCCGTGGTCCTCTGGACCTATTCTGCTTCGGACTTTGTCCTTGCAGCCTTTCCTCTGTTTGCTTCTACTTAGGACTTGTCCTAAGTAGCCATTACACATATCCGTATCAGGATGAAACCTCATTGTAATTTCTGGAAGTTTCTCCGAAAGTTTCCCGCACTTATCCGGAAAGTCCTTCCAAACTTTCCTGTGCCTCAGATGTCCTTGGACTTTCTCTGGACGTCATTCTGAAATGAAGGGCACATACTCGGGTAAGGGGCGCAGTGCACGAGCTGAAGCCAAGCCCCTCAGAATCAGTCCTACCCTTTGTGCATGGTCTTAACATCCCCTCAGAGTTATATGTGACCTTTCAGCTGATAGGAACCAAGAATGACTACCACAATGCACACAAACTTAAGAAACAATTACACCCCTACTTCAAGATGCTGCTACCACTTGCGATACAATGGCATGACTTAATAAGGAACAAATGACCATCAAGTGCAGTCACTTTCCAAGAGGTCCTCAATATGTTGGAAACACATCTCACTAAGCTTCCAAAGGACGAGCCTTCACCCAAGCTTCTGTTTGCAAGGGAGGTCATTGCAGGACTCCTGAAAAAGAGAAACACAAGTGACCTTGAGGGTGATGATTGGGATGATCATCTAAACAAATCTTCAAATACAGAACATAACATCATTCCCAGTCGCATGGCTGGATGATGGAAGTTATACCCCAGCCCAAGCAGACCAGAACTACATAACTTACATTGACTACACTCACAATTATCTCATGTCTTCACATATAGTTATACCCTCCTTGGTACTGGACACTCGCCGGGAGAACAGCAAGTAACACTAAATTTTAGAGTGTTATGCAGATGAACAGATGGTAGTAAACTAGAGACTGAGTCTGTCAAATATGACCAATGATCAAAGTATCATGATATCATAAGCAGATAGTAAGTGTCCATACTGACATTTACATGTACAATTAAATTGTTCCCTTTTAAGGTGTAATGGAGGGCTGGAGTTAAAAAGTGCGTGTTATTAAACTGTCGGTATGGTGGCTTACTTTGCCTCTTTGACTAGTCATACCTGGAAGCCCTAAGAAGAAGAGATCAAAGTGTAAAGCTTTAGACTCGGATCCAAAGGCACTGGAAGGGGTAGCAGCTCTAGCAAAGAGAGCATGTGCTCAGTCTCAATCAATTATCGATCAAGATGACTCATAGCATCCTTGACAAACAGGACATGCAGGGACAGGGACAGAAGGTAGAGGCTCTCAATTGGAGAAAATATACGCTAGCTTGCATGCTCCATCATGGACCAGCCGATCCAAGAGTGCCACCTCCCTTAACCCGGATGCTCCTGCAAACCCACTTGCCCCAGAACTGTCTCACAAGAATTGTTCCAAGGTTCCTTTTCTTTTGTTTGTATTAAAAAATACTAATAAGACATGGAGAAGAGACAGCCTCCTCTGCCATATAGCTCTTTGCAAGAAGTGAGCATTATGACTTCCAAGTCATGCTCAAAGAAAACCAAAGTGAGTTTTCAACACATGAATAATCATGTATTAATCTATATGTAGACTCCTATTGTTTCTGCCCCAGCCCTTGAGGTATCGCAGCCTCAACCTACTTTTTCACAATGGGAAGCTGGTGGATAATACAGATTTTCACCATCAATCATCCCTCCAGGCACAGAACCAGATCTTCAGGTGTGTTAAGGTCGTACTCTCATAGGATCGGATCCGAAGGACTTCGGCCTCAGCTTGTACGCTGTGCCCCTTTCCCAAGTACTGTCCCTTATTTCAGAGATTAAGCGATAACATGTCCGGAGGATCGGACGAGTCTCGTAGTGTTATCCGGATGATGTCCGGATATCGGAAACATGTATAAGGCTAATCCAGACAAGTCCGAACTAGAAACAAACAGAGGATAGACTATCCGAAGATAGAGGCGGAGACGTAGACTATCAGAATTGATCCGAAGTCTCAGAGATTGACAAGAGCTGTTTAGACTCAAGTCCGGAGGACAGAAAGAGGACAAACTAAGATGATATTCGAACTGAGGTACTACCAGACATATACACGAGTTTATATACTAAGGGATAACGGAAGGATCAGTAAGCAAGAGTCCAAGGCTATGTACGAAGCGTAAGCAAAGTTTATCAAATGCGAGTCGGAAATGAAACATAGGTTAACGGATCAGTAAGCATAACCGGTAGTAAGTATAACCGAGATACCGGGAGTAAAGGAACACCGAATAAAGGAATAGGCTGTGTTTAATGTTATATGAACAGGAAATGAATTAAGAAGCTTATCATATATCGGATCGGAAATGGATCTAACGAATCAGATCGGACCGGATCTAAGGTCCGAGGTCCGGATGAGAAGCGCGGATATATGGGATATGACAAGGTGTTGAATAACTTCTTCGTGGCCGCAGCCAAGGCCGCACATGCCCTGCCTGATCGCAATTTTAACATGTCCCAATGTTCTATTATCAGTTCCAATGCTTCTCAAGCTCATCATCATCATCATCCTACTTAGCATCAGATATCCTGTACTTCCCAGTGCTACTTCAACTACCATAGTCCTACCAGAGACTAACTTTTGCAAGAATAAATTTAGATCCTGCCTGTTAAGACTGTGCACAAAGGGTAGGACTGATTCTGAGGGGCTTGGCTTCAGCTCATGCGCTGTACCTCTTACCCAAGTACATGCCCTTGATTTCAGAATGATGTCTGGAGAAAGTCCAAGGAAGTCTGAAGGACTTCTGGAGGAGCACAGGAAACTTTGGAAGGACTTTCTGGACGAGTGCGAGAAACTTCCAGATGAGTGCGGGAAAGTTCCAGAGAAACTTCCGGAAACTTGGAGGAATAGAGGATCAGAGGAGCAAAGCTCCAGCCTAGGGAATGCCTCCCTAGGCCTGAGATGGATACTGACTAAGTTGGAGGACTAGAACTGATGTGCGGACTTAGTGTGAGATCTAGTGCGAGGACTAATATACAGGCAATACTGTCATTATGATGTATCATATACCAGTCCATGACACAAAGTGTGGGAGAATGATACATCAATCATAACACCATGATATACTACGAGCCATAGAGCTTTGATATATTACTTACCTTGATATATCAGATGTTGTATCATGTATTCCCTCCCCCCATGCATGGCTACAGCATATTTTGATGATACATCACCTACCTTAATACCTCAGAACATAATATATCATGCATTTTCAAGCGCAGCAGCAATTCCTATGATGTATCATATGTTCCCGCCTCCCACAGCTGCAGTAATTGCATGTTTAAGTTTTGATGATATATCACCTACCTTAATGCCCTCAGTAGATCAGTAGAATACATGCTCTCAAGGGGCTGCGCTAATACAATGGTGCTGCACAATTACATCAATTTTCTCTTCTGGTTGTCATTGACATAATTTCGCGTCTAGCATAATTCAACATTCTAAGGACATGCTACTATCTAGCTAGGTACATTGAAAACACAACAGAACTACTTCCGAGACCTTTTCTTTGACCCTCCAACACCACACTGAACTTCGATCTGCTTCCTCTTTGGTACGAGCTTTGTTTCATGTTGTGAGTTATGGTCACTAATTTTATTGGCTCCATCAGCTCATGTAGAAGGTTATGGTGTGCGTCCTGAGCATCTGCTGGAGGCAGCAGAGATGGTAGGTAACGAAGACACCATCCTCACCTCCAAATTGGGTTGAGAAATGCCTACAATGTTGTGAGGTGTCGGCTGGCAAGAAGCTGGTGAAGATTGACAGTCAATAGACACCATCATCACCTCTGAATTAGATTGAGTTTTATCAGCAGAAACTCCTCCAATTTCTGGGTCGGAAGGAATGCAATTTAATATACTGTCGTCCAAGAAAGCAAGCAAACGCTGCGCAAAATTATCATCTCCTTGCTCAATAATCCTGTGCTTGATTTCATCCGAGTTCAATCCTCCATCCAGCCATATCATCATATCACAATGTAAAGTTCCCCGTCCCTGCGCCTCCACACAACCGTAATATCCTTTGACTAGACCCAGAATACCTCCCTGGACATCCTCCCCGCTCGCATCATATCCAAGAATACAATTGATGAATGCTTTCATATACAGATTAAAGAACTTTGCTGCAATAACCGGATTTTTCGCCACGAGAATTGACTGCTCCATAAACTTGGGAACATCATCTGGCAATAGATTATCGACATCAATGTCTGCGCCACTGAGCAACTTCACTATAGGGTTGTAAACGTCTGCTGGATTGATAGTAATATAGAAATTGGGAAGTCCATGTTCCATCATCATCGCACGGATCTCATTCCTCATTTGCATTTTTGCAGCTGACGAACCTCGAACATGACTAGAAATTGCCTTGACTTCGCTCGTAAGACGCAGCACCTTGTGCTCTTCATCATTGTGAGCAGTCTGAATGTCTCCATGTGCCACACGTTCAGATACTATATGAACTGTCTCCGGAGAAACTGAAGCAAACTTACGGGCTGCTGAATGAAAATTGGACCGCTTAACTCTTAGACTGGTATGTAACAACAGTTCTCTGCGCTGTAACACGTTAAATACAGAAAACAAAAACGAATAATGTTCCTGGAAACGTCGATCTGCCAAAGAGAATAGATGTTTTGCATGCCTGCTCATCCCGATCTTCGACATGCGAACAGATTGTTCAAATCCTCCGAGACCATAAGGGAACAATGTAGGATAAATCATTGGAAATAGATCTGGATTGGAATACTCGTTGACTGGTGCAGGTCCATGAGGAATCTCCACATAACCACCTCCATGCTGCTTCACATGACGAAGTGCAGCTGCTCGCAGCTCATTTGATGGCGCATGAACATCAACATCAGAAACCACAACATTTTGAAATGGTGATGCAGTTTCAACACACTCTGGCGATTCCAAATGACCAGGCTCGTATCTCGAAGCTAGTGAGAAGCTGGCGAAGGTTGATGTTCAATGGACCTGAAATGCAGTGACTTGGAGGCTGTGGATACAAGTGGGGATAATGAATGGTGTGACAGCAGGCAGCAAAGCTAATGGAATCGGTTGGTCTGGAGGCGAGCGTGGCCCCGAGTTCAACATGGGCTGGTTGAACAGTAATGGATCACGTTGTTGGAGTGTGGGCAGCATGTCAACCTCCTCGAGTCCAGGAAACATAAAGAGCAAAGAAGGCTGGAGCAAGAGGGTGGCATGAAGTGGCAACAATGGATGAGGTAGGAAAGGAGGGACTGCTTCAACTGATGGACCCACTGCACTCAAACCTCATTGTTGAACACGATTAAAGGTGGGGGATATAAGCAGGTCTTCATTGTGTGCCATTGACTTTTTCCAATCCGTGATTGGCATGTCTGTCATGTTACAGGGAGATGGGAGGTTTGGGTCACTGCTACTAGTATGCATCAACCAGTCACCATGTTTGTTCACTCCCGCAGACCCACTGAAGTCCAGGTTAATGTCCTTAAAGGATTCTGCATCAACACTAAGTCCTCCTGTTCTTGCAACAGAGAAGGATCAACAACAGGCCCAGATATCACATTCTCTCCAAGTGAGGACTCATTCAGAAATTCATCCAGTGAGATGAGGTCAACGGACACAAGATGAGACAAGGTTGGGGTAGACGAGGGTGCTGATATACACTTTGAAGATGGACCTATGGTATTTTTCATTAATAATAAATTTTGGGTCGTGTAGTTTGGAATTTCACTTACCATGGATGCTTCCAAGGTGTCGTTCAAATGGTAAATTGTTCATGGAAGTTCGGGGTAGACATCTTGAAGCTCAGACCACCTGTGGTTTTACCATGGTGATAACTGTTATGAATCAACAAATGGTTGCAAAGAGGGAATTTGAATAACATACCTCAATGTCATGATGTCCCCTTCACACAGTGGGTCAGCTCCACCCATGACAACAGTGTAGTGCCATCCACCTGTCAACACTGAGAGTTCCTCAAAAACTTGACCTAAAATCAAGGGCAGCTCTTGAATTGTTCTTTACATAAATAGTGAGTGATCAGTACCCTTAGTAATACAAATCAGACATGTTTACTTACCAATAAACTTCTTCCTTTGTTCTCAGATGTTGACCCTCAACATCACCCAATCTTCTGGAAGCATTAAGACATGCAGTCTCCTCCTGAATTTCTTTCTTGACTTCTTCTGACTCGTCTGCAAAGCATTCAGTGGTGTGTTGCTGGACTGTACTAAGCCTTTGTGTAGGTTGCACATTATTATTTTTAAGAGTGTCTGAAACCAATGGTTGTACGGCATATTTTTGGCAATCCAATCTTCACCAACCATATGGAATATGATCCTTATTCCCGCTACCTTTAGGTAGCTGGGTCTTTGTCGATCGTTCAGATGGAAAATAACACAGAATTTGCACATTTTCAAATTCAATCGTATATAAATGGCAATATTTTCTCGTCTCTAGGGCGTTTCCGTTTGTTTGTATCTGATGTTCGAAATTGATTCTTTTAGCATCGCATCTTGTATTGTATCCAAGTCCAGTGTCGTTGCCGTGCAGCTCTACCCACCTTGTCTAGTAACTGCCTTTGGTGTACCGGGTGGCGAACGGCATAATTAGGTGGAGTTGGCATCGCAGGGAAAGGCTCAAAGTCTTGGCCATTGTCCTGGAATGATAGTCTGGTGTGCCGTCACCTTACAAGATGCAAGGTATGTTACCACTAATTGTTTTTGGTCAACTAAGTATCATACTACTCATTTCATGAAGATGTTTTCGATTTCAAGTGCAGAGCAGCTCGCCAGTGCAGTGTTCGAGGTCCGATTACTATACGGGGCCATACTTGCTTAATAATTGACCAACAGTGTTCGCCTTTCCATAACTCAACTGTCATCATGTCGTTTATGCTCGACGGTCAAAATATATCAGTGGTGCGGGACGACTCTTCTGCTCATTCACTGGTTGCTATGTCGTTTGTGCCGCTCGATCGCTCTATAAATGGTGTATTTTGGACGCTTGTGACTTTGGTTGCAGGCGATGTGCGTTTGTCTGTGGAGTTTTCATTTACTATTTGCGACACTTTGCCAGCCACGGTTGTCTTGGGACGTGATTGGTTCGCGTTTTGTCGCGATATTTCACACAGTTATCCTGAAGTGCGCTTGCCATTGTGTCAGTGGACGTCGATGGAGAATCCTGGTATGTCTCTTTATTATTATTATCAGATGCTGGGTGCTGAAATTTATGTATCAGAATTGGAACGCTCTGGTGTACATGATGGTCAATCTCTTGTTAATGAAGCTTCCCAAGCGGGTACTTTGTCGTCAGATCGGGTTGTTGCTCAGGATATGGTCCGTCGGTTGGTAGTTCATGATCTATTGACTGTGTTAATGTTGAATGATGGTACGTCAATGACTATGGCTAAGAGAATCGCTACAGATCATGCGTTGGATGCTAATATTGGCTATGAATTGATGAAAGAACAGTTTGTTTCTCATTTATTTGCAGGCGCTTGTGTTATCAATGGATCTCTGGGAACTGGAGGATGTGCATGTACGGTTATCGCCAAGGGTTTCTTTGATGTTTCTTTGTTGATGGATTATATGCTCGGCATTCTTTCTTCTCCGTGTGCTAAAAAATTGACCAGGCCATTGCTAATGAAGGTTCTATCTATTCTTAATATTGATACATCTCTTCGTCAACGTCGTCGTGATCAATTGGTCACTGCATTGACTCCATCTAGCAGACATCATCCTTGTTCGGTTCGTGGTGTCTCACATAATACAACAATGGACGTTGATATCGAATTTGCGAGAGAAAAAGATCTTCACCATATCGCATCTTCATGTCAGAAGCATAGACATACCGCGACATGTTTTAAATATTGGAAAGGTCCTCCAGATCCAAAGCAGTGTCGATTTGATCTTGATGAAAGACGATTTCAACCCACTAGCTATTTTGACAAAGAGGAAGGTGAGATTTGTCTCAGATGTTTGGATGGTATGGTCAATAACTTCAATGAAACGATTCTGGAGCTGGTTCGCTGTAATATGGACATCAAATTCATCAGTTCAGGTGCATCTGCAAAAGCGATCTTATACTACATCACGGACTATATCACGAAATCGCAATTGAAAGCCCATGTTGCATATGCTGCACTGCGATTGGCCGTCGATAAATTGGGTCAATATTGTCCAGGAGATGATGATTTGACTGTTCGTGCGAAACGATTGCTACAGAAGTGCGCCCATGCAATGATATCTCACCAAGAGCTATCTGCTCAGCAAGTCTCTTCGTATTTGCTCGATTATGAGGACCATTTCACGAGCCATGCCTTTAATAATTTGTATTGGACATCTTTTGAAAGGCATATAGATGAGGAACAGCCAAGTTCGGAATGCCAACCTGATCGGACTGATAATATCCAAGAGAATTGTTGGCAGGCGCACGAAGAAGTGGATGACATGACAAATGATGACGAATGTCAAGAGGACAACAGGAATTGGAATGAAGACACTGCTGAGAATGATGAAGATGACGATGAGGTCGGTGTGAGTGTGGATCATACTGGTAATTTCGTTGAGAAGCCCTCTCAATACATGGACTATATATTCCGTGGTCGAGAATTAGATAAACTGTCTTTGTGGGATTTCGTGGCACAGACCGAGAAAGTCAAACATAAAGTCCAGAATGTGGTGGAGGACGAGTGTGAAAGACAATCTGCAGGTAGATGGAGTGACATGTCAACAAGCCAAGCTAAAGACCGTCCAAAAGTGCCTTTTTTGAGTACACACCCTCAATATGAATCAAATGTACTGCGAGTTCGGCTTGTACAAGATCGTGTTATTCCTGTGCCTATTGGTCCGCGTATTCCACGACGAGATCAGCCAAAGGCATATCCCAGGTACTGTCGGTTGATGTTGATCTTATTCAGACCATGGCGTGTTTCTAAAGACCTTCGATCTCAAGGTCAAAATTGGGAAGAAGCATTCGCAGAATTTCGTGCTACTATTGATAGTCGGTCGTTGCAAGTCATGAATGACATGCAGATATTGCATGAATGTCGTGATAGTCGGGACGATTATTTCGCAGATAGGCTGGCACGCATGCGGAGAGCTTCACACCGGCAATCAAACGAGACATGTCCAAGCGCAAATAATCAGTTTGGGAGCGATGAGGCAATCCTAGAGCATTTGGAGGCCATTGATGCGTGCCGATCCAATCAAAAAATGCAAGCCTCAGATGCCGTTCTCGATTGTCTTCATCATGCTGAAATGTCCGGTATATGGCAATCAAAGAATTTGAATTCTATTGAAAATCAGTCGGAGGACAATTCATTATCGAAAGAAGTCCATATCTCACAAACAGACCTAAGTTTAGAAAACATGTGGCTGGCAGCTTATGAGGAACGGCGTGATAATTGGAAGAAAAAAAGAACACAATCTGATCCAGGGACCTTGTCAGACGCTGATCAAGCTTCTACATCATCAATAACGCAATCAATCAATGATGGGACAGACTTTCGAGATGCACGTATCAATGGTATTGAAACTAACGAGGTTCATGACATGAGTATACGCAGTGGAGTTTCTATCGCGCCAATTGGCATAAGGGGTAGTGTGAATATTGACGACATGATTAACGAATTCACCTTGAATACAGAACAAGCGAGAGCATTTAGAATCGTTGCAGAACATAGTCTTCAAATAAAGTCCGAGCCATTGCGTATGTTCATTGGGGGTGCAGGAGGTACAGGCAAGTCGCGTGTCATCAATACACTAAAAGAGTTCTTCCATCGACGCAATCAGAGCAGACGATTTCGACTCGCATCATATACCGGAGTGGCTGCAAAAAACATTTCAGGGATGACACTGCACTCAGCACTCAGTATTGGACAACATACGACTCGATCTGCACACACCAAAACAAATCGAGATCTCATAGCGATTGGGAAGGAGTGGACTATCTCTTTATTGATGAGATATCTATGATCGGTTGCAATTTTCTGTTGCAGGTTAGCGAAGCACTGACAGAAGCCAAGGGTAAGACGACCCCTTTTGGTGCAATGAATCTCATTACGGCTGGTGACTTTGATCAACTACCGCCTGTTGGACAACCTCGTCTATTTAGTCATGTGAACACTCATCGTGTAGCAACCAGTCAAGGTCAGAATGCTGTCCTCGGAAAATTGCTCTGGCTATCGATAGATACCGTAGTGATTCTCAATGAGATTAGACGCCAACAAGGCAAAGAGAACCAGCCTTTTGTAGAGCTCTTGTCTCGTCTGCGTCATGGTAATTGCACCACAATGGATTATGAACTGTTGAACACGCGGCAAATTAGTGATGCAAAGCCTGATTGGAATGATGGATGGAGAGATGCACCGGTAATTGTAAGCAACAATGATGTGAAAGACGCTTTTAATGTTCAAGCGACCGCAGATTTTGCACGACGGTCTGATCGGCAAATGCATTGGTATCATTGTTCAGATGCTCAGGGTGGAAAAGAGATCACAGATCACTCACTTCAGGATCACCTCAATAACCTGCACTCCGGATTGACAAACCAGCGTCTAGGGCGAATTCCGCTGGTGATCGGAATGCCAGTGATAGTAGCCCATAACTTTGATGTTGAAGGAGGCATCGTCAATGGATGCCAAGGCATCCTTAGATCTATTCGATACACAGTGGACGACAATGGCAATCGACATGCGCGGTCGTGCATTATCCATTCATCTGATACCACATGCAATGATCTTCCACATCTACAATCTGGTGAGATTGTTGCGCTCGAGAGCAGTGTGGAGCTTCGATTCAGCCATCCACACTCCCATAAGCAATGCAAGATCACACGTACCCAAGTGCCCATTCTCCCGGCATTTGCGATGACGACTCACAAGGCACAAGGTCGAACACTCTCACGTGCTATTATCGACATCCAAAGCTGCAGAGGAACAGAGGCTCCATATGTCATGGCCTCTCGTGTTACCTCTCTGAATGGATTGCTCATCCTTCGCCCATTCAATATCAATAAAATCCGGAGTCGTCCATCAGAAGACTCACGAAAGGAAGAACGGCGATTGGAATGTCTACAACTCCAAACCATCCTCATTTATGGCACCGATGAAGAGAGAGTTCTCGCGCAGGAAGAGTTGCACAGAGAATTCAAATGTACGATGTCGACTCGGACCATGAAAGCAAACACCAAAGCTCCTGAGGATACAGTGCAACAGCTGGACATTTTACAAAAAGATATTGATCGCACCTTTTCATCATCATGTGTCTCTCCAATAACGCAAGTTGACAAGTTACATTCTAATATATTTGGTTATTGACCCCAAAAAAAATCGCAATTCACAGAAGCTCGCACCATTCAAATCGAAAAAAGAAACGGAAACTGCCAGAACCAGGCATGGATGATACAAATGATCCTGTACATTCATATGGTGATGAAGGCCATCCAACGAAACGTCCCAGAATAAAAAAGTGTGTTCTCCCTTCCCCATAATGAACCCAAGCAATCGAGCCGAGCATTGGCCGAGAACGGCAAAATCCGACAGTGGCGCAGACAATACCACATTATCGTTCTCTCATCATTGGTACTCTCATAAAAGCAGTTCAAATGAATACGATACCGGCAAGTAACAAAGGTGAGCTTGACAATACAAATGGTCCATGACTCTTAATATCTCACACAACTTAGTACTGTTCAACCTCGACCTTCTGAACATGATCTTTCCTCTCCTATTTCTGCCCGAGCTTCATAGTTTGGGTCAGACATGTAGGACACTGCGCAATGAGGAACTGCCTGTAATCTTGCGTCGTTTTGACACCATCCTCGGCCCTTTCGTTTATCAATTCTATTGGGAATTTTATCAGACACTGCGACATATGAAGGCCATCATAATTGGCTCTTGTGCACTCGACATGATGCTAGGAACGAGAAAGACCCCGCCAAGAGATCTAAATATCGTCGTTCCGCACGGATCACTATCTCTCATGGAGAAATTCATCAAAAATGTCCTCTCGTACCACTCCATTACCACCGCATGTCACCCTTCGCTCTCTACGATTGTGCATGACTTCCGGAAATACGGACGTCACGGCAAGGTGATCACTGTGACAGAACCTAAGCGTCTTTTGCATCCATTACACATCGTCTTGAACAGTCCTTCGACAGCAGACATGACGTTTATCACTGCCGGCGGCGCAGTGTGCTTCTATCCAGACCTGACAAGAAACTATCACGCGGTAAAGACGATGACCGGAGAAGGCGTACCTCCGGGCCAGCGGCTGGGAAGCATTGGAGGAAACAGATTCGATGTTCATTCCAACATGACCTTCCTCAATGGTCCATGCAATGCTCTATGCCCTGCTCTTTGGCACCATGTATCCAACCACCAAGAATATGCTGTAGTCGACTGGGACCGGCGTTTTTCGGTCAAATCAATGCTCTACAATAATGATGTCGAATGGCGCCTGAATGACTATTGCTTCAATTCGAAGTGCCTATTCAACATCGATGTGATGGTGGAGAATCAGGATGTTCCCCCAAAGATCATGCCTTACAGTCCGCAAAGTGTGAGAGAGCAATCAAAACAGATTAAAGATCATGAGCCGGTAAGAACACAATACCAATACGATATTCATGGCACAATTAACTGCTTTATGTCTAGCCTTACGAAAAAACATTCAAAGGTCTACTATATGCAACAGCGTGTACAGAACCTGTCATCGTTGATGTTCCTCTTCAAGATGGTACTGACCAGCTCCGTACGCTTGACGAATTGGAGGTAAACCATTGGGTGCGCCAACGAGGCATTATGACGTGTACTGCTGCCAGAAAACAACACCGAAGAACATTCAACACCTTCCCAAATTCTGCGACTCTGCCAGACGACATATATACTGTGTTCCTGGAAAAGGTCAATGACTATGCAGCACCCAATGCCTTGCTAGAGGACATCGCACAAAAAGCAGATCTAAACGGAATAGTGGAAGGTAACATACTGGTTATCAAGCAAGACCGTCACAATCCACTCAACATCATCGATATGCATGAAAAGGACGTATACTTAACAAACTTTCTGGTACGAAGGCAAGTGTCATGTTGCACATCTCAAGCACTACTCAAGTCTCCACAGCTTCACCGAAATCTGATTCAGTAAAAGACCTAGGCATTCACGCTCATCTCTTGGACCAATAGTCGAGTTAACTTGTGACATAATCTGTACCTCTGTATCAAACCAGAATTTCGATCAAATGACATCACTGAGCAATGACCCGCCCGTCAAAATCCGCACCCCTAAATTTCTATCCTTCAAACCACACCATCACCATGGCAGACAAAAAAGCAGCCTCAACATATGATGCACGACTCTCAAACCAAATCTATGAACAACTCTATGACTACATCCGTCGTCAACCCAACCAACTTTGTCTTGCTGACGCTCTATATGAGAAGGACTTCCGTCGTGAAACAGATAATAGGGGCAACATATTTTTCACCAACAATCACACAAACCAAGACTACGAAATTCTCCTCCCAGCAGAAATTGCGCCCTTCACATGTGGAACCAAACTGCAAGCTATTGGGAGCCATTGGTTGGGAAGACAAACAGAGGTAAGCACACAAATCATCAAATCATACTCGCAAAATATCTTAAACCATAAAAGCCCAACTATATCGAGGACAATACGCTGGTCAAATGTCCTCTCGCATGTACCATGGGACATCAAGCACCCAGATTGGTCAACGACTGCTGGTACAACACCATCGCGGAGATCAATAACATCATCGAGACAGAGAAAGAGCGCGACGAAAGAAATGGAGAGGTACATCATATTACGATTATGCTCACAGACACTCTCACTTAGAGAGTACACAGAATTTCATCGTCAAAGACTGTCTCGGACGCTCGAGCTCTGACAACACCGATCCAGATGTGATCATAGTCCACACCCAGCGACTTTATGACGTCCCACAGGACCTGCGCGAGCACAAGAAAAGTGCGGGGAAAACTTCAAGAATGCAAAAAATGACCCTTGACCCAGTTACTTCGACGTCCACATCCGGAAAAACGGCCGTCAGAGGAGACTCAACCATGATGTCACAAGATGCAAGCCATGACAAACAGAACACAGGTGCGTTGTCATGTCCCATACAATGGTCAACGATACTGACATGGCAGTGGCACACAGTCATCAGCGCCAACACCATGCACTCACCGACACTTCTGCCAGACTATGGAGGTCCAATCTTCCATCACCGCCGAGCATCTCTACGTCAACTAGACATCCGTGATAGCACCAACAACCTCATCACTCCCGACAACTGGTACAGCGAGCTCCGACAAGGGACACTTGTCCTTTTTGCAGCCACAATGCATGGCTACGTACAAAAAGACCCTGGACAGAAAGGGAGAAAGGTACGAAATCATCTCAACTGTCAACTCTACACTGACGACGCACTACCACAGACTTGGCAACTTGTCGCGAAATCTATCAAGGTGATAGACCGATTGAATGAGAGTGTGGAGCCTCGCTACAAAGCGGTATTGCCCACCGCCGAAAAACGTGGAACAACGTCTTCAGCAGCACTAACAGACTTCAAAATCGAAAAGAAGATCCGTGCCAAATAACAGTCGACTATCATTGTAAAAAAAAAGGAGGGAGGCACGCACAAGCAGTAAACTGTAGGACTCACATGTCATAATATTTCAAATGATATTGGTAGTGAACACATGGCAGTAGTTTTAAAAAATAAGCACGAGAAGTGAACCACGGGGCGTCCGTTCCCACACACCAGGTAGCGGGCCCTGCCACGGATGTGGCCCTGCACGACTTATGAAATAAAGGACAATGGTGAGTGCGAATATTGTTAGTTATATGATCATTCACCTCTACAGTACACATTTCTATGTCTTCTATGTGTCTTATTGTGCCTTCATACTCATAGCATTATTCCTGACACTTTACTTACTATTTACATGACTTCCTGACCTCCCTAGGACATCCCTAGGTCTAGTTATTACTTACCTTTGATTGTGGCTTGTCTGTTTACATTTGTTTACCATATGTTGCCCATATCCCAGAGTCCACTGCTCCCTGCCTCTTTGGCAACTTACTCTGGACTCTAGGTACTGTACAACTTCACTACACCATTCAATAGATTGGCAACTTACTCTGGACTCTAGTCTGATCTCTTCTGGTCTCTCAGTAGCCTCTAGAAGCGGCCCACTTCACTCCCATCTTAATGAACATCCACTCCAAAATTTGTGTGAGGGCCACCTCACACTTGTGGGTGTGCATTGCATACATCCCAGTCCCAGAATATGTGGTGAATAGCAAATTCTCTGGATTTTTAGAAGCACGTGTCTGGCACAAGTGTATGGATATAGACTGCCTTTCATGTTACTATCGCTCATGATCTCACTGATCATTCAGCTGCTGCTCTCACTCAACACTATCATATTCCAAACTTTCTATTTGTCCTTTCATAGTATCTCAATGGTGTATCGGGTCAGAACTCAGTCCAGCGGTGCAGGCATCGAGTCTGTGATCGACACAGCCCAGCTCAATTCCATAAATGACCTGATTCAGTTGAACAAGAAGACAGCCAGTCCAACTCACCTCCAATGCGAGCAGCAGAACGACGCAAAGTACATGACCTAAGTATAGAATATAACTTCATTAGAAATTGCAGGAATGGTTCTGAAATAACTGAAAGAGAAAGACAACACCTGGTGGCAGCTCAACCGATAGAGCCCTGTCTGTACTACTTGGCCAGTGTGCACGAGGTACTCGAGACCTCAAAGAGATTGAAGTGTATTCCAAGCTGCACTATGAGTTTAAAAGTCAAACTTCCAAGGCATCTCGCCAAATGAGATTCACAGTGTAAGTAGTCATATATCCATCGGTATGAATGGGTGTACACTTCCATCGAGGGGTAACTGGTAATGCATCCATGAATGTAAATAGTTGTTTTGCATTCTTAAAAGACAGCGGCCATCTAGTTTCTGACACCACCTGAAAGAGCATCATTAGTGCAGTCCATGTAGAGTAGTTCAAACAGACCCAAAGAAGCTTCAAAAAATGAGTGATCTGCCCCTGGTTCAAGTTGTCGCATAGAAACTTTGCAAGTTCCCATTCCGCTCTATCTGAAAATGGGTAATAGGTATTATGTTCCTGCATTGCCTCAAAATCATTGTGTTTCATTCGTTCGAAAGTATTGGACTTGCCAAGCCCATAGATGTAATCTGATTTAGGATAAAATCGCCCTTGTTGTGGCTGGTCCTCTGATGTTTGGGGGATACTGAAGGCAACCAGAGGGGGAATCAGACACTGAGAGCATCCTGGAAGGCACAATCTGATTGAATCTAGCATAATCAACACTTACCCAATACTACTGAATTGATTAGCAGAGTGGCTGTTAGGGCCAGAAGAATCATTTGGCTTCATAGCAGTACCTGTAGTGTGCATTGGGCCAGTGGCAAGCCCTCAAACAACCTTCCAAACATTCCTTAAGTCTTTCAAACTCCAATCACAGTAATCGCATATTGTTAAGTCATCCAGCTTCAAAGCACCAAGCTAGTGGCTACAAATATTGGTCAGTTATCCATGAAGAAACCTGCTAAAGCTCTTTCATACCATTCCTCTAGTCCTGCAAGCTCTCAAACTTGCATTGAGCTGTCATCGGCCTCCTGCCTAACTTGCCAGGCTGGTCGGGCGCCTGCCTAGTCTTATGCACCTCTCTGATGCGCTGCATGGCAAAGCACTTGTGCATGCAATGACCTGCCTTCTCACAGAAGTCGCAGACAGCATTAGCACCGCACTTACAGCTACTAGGCAGTGCCCCAGGGGCAGAGACAAAGGCAGAATCACTAGAGGACGCTCCAAGAGCATCACTATATTGAATATATATATCCCTGTAGCGAGTACATGAGCTGTGGTATTTATTAGCTCAGTATGTACTAAGTGGATAGAATGTACTGACCTCAGTGAACTGATATAAGTCACTAAGGAAGTTCTGTCATGTGCGAGTGAAAATAGTAAGTAGCTTACATGACATACAAAACTGGTATAACAAGGTTAGAATATGCAACACTCCCTCTCAAACTGAGCAGAGTCCAAGTACAGCAGTGAAGTGCTTAGCCTTGAGGCTAGAAAGGGGCTTAGTGAGAGTGTTGGCGATTATGTCATCTGTAGGACAATGGATTCAGCGGGGGAGTTAGGATCCATTGGGATAGAGGAAGGTTTGACATCTGAGAAGTTGTACTTAGTTAGGATGGATTCAATGTAGCTTTCATGAGAGAAGGAGATGGTCCGTGTGACTCGGTCATATGTGACCTTCATGCCAAGCAATGATGTGATGGGTCCAAGGTCTGTGAGCTTAAAGTGAGCTGCTACATCAGACTTGAACTAAGTACAATTGTCAATGTGAGACATGAGAATGAGAATTATCTACACCTATGTGTTTGTGTTAGTTACATGATCATTCACCTCTACAGTACACATTTCTATGTCTTCTATGTGTCTTATTGTGTCTTCATACTTATAGCATTATTCCTGACACTTTACTTACTATTTACATGACTTCCTGACCTCCCTAGGACATCCCTAGGTCTAGTTATTACTTACCTTTGATTGTGGCTTGTCTGTTTACATTTGTTTACCATATGTTGCCCATATCCCAGAGTCCACTGCTCCCTGCCTCTTTGGCAACTTACTCTGGACTCTAGGTACTATACAACTTCATTATACTATTCAATAGATTGGCAACTTACTCTGGAATCTAGTCTGATCTCTTCTGGTCCCTCAGCAGCCTCTAGAAGCGCCCTACTTCACTCCTATCTTAACACAATTGTCATACACAACTAGTGTTGCTTTTGGACTTATATCATTTTAGACATCTGGCTTGTAATTTCAGGCCAATCATCCTGTCAAATGCTTGTATTTGACTTGCATCTTGAGGACATCTATCTAGTCATCCTATCAAACACCTGCATTTGATTTACCTCCCTTTGTGCATTTCTAGTCATCCTGTTGAACTCTTGTGTTTGACTTACATCCTTGCAGACATCTAGCTTGTAATTTCCAGCTAGTCATATTCAGATACATTGCTTTCCCCTCCTTGAATGCAACTCTGAAAGTTAACCATACTCTCTTCACAGACGGCTGTATCTTAACTGGGTAATCCCCTGTTGACATACAATGTCTAAGCAGAGACTTTGTCATTCTGATCTGGCAGGGCTAGATCCAAAGGTCAAGGCCTACAAGCAGCACAAACCATGGACAGAATTCAAGAGACAAGATCTCACAGAAGAGAAAAGGCTATGTGAAACAAATAGCGTGAACAAACACTGTTCGCGGGCAGCTCAGAAATAAAGAGCACTTGAAAACACTAGGTTGAGCAGGCCTCCTCCAAAACAGCGGCATGTCCTATCATCCAGGGCAGTCCAAAACTGAGGTGACATCAAGAACATCGAGAATACTGCTGGTCCTTCAAACTCTGGCGGACAGGTTCCTTCAAATGTTGAAAACACAGCGGGCCCTTCTTCTCATGTCTTATTTGATGATGTCCTCATTGATCCTGCCCTGCTATAACCACCCAATACTCAACCTCCACGTACTTCCCTCTCTCTGACTTGGGATGCTAAAATCTTCATGTGCGATGTATGCATTATGACAGACATACCATCACCATTATGAACTACATGTCCATCTTCACCGGTCACCACACGCAATGTATATGTCATGATGTATTTACCACCTGACCATCCCCTCTTATTTCCAGATTACTCATTGTCTCCCTCGCCAGCCTTGTCCAATCTCTGACATTGAGTCCCTCGACTTAGTAACTCTAATAATCAGCTTGCAGGTTCACAAAAATTCACTGACAGTCACATGGAGAAGTGGCATAACAACGGTGCTGCCATATATTCATAAGGATGGTAGAAACATACTGCAACACGATGCAGATGTGGTTGTATATATTGCCACACTTTCTGAATTCTGTCCAGATTCATCCAAATATGTGGTTCATTTACACTACAGTGACTGGCACTCAAAGCCACAAGAGCTGCACCAAAATATCACTGCTGAGCTTTGCCAAAACAAAGCTATCATTCTTTGTTAATGCAAATAGGTCACCATGGATGAACATGACCCCGAACGCCTGTATGATTGGGGTGCGTCAGAGCCAATGCATGTTGTAATACATGGTCAGTCTGTTTTTATTCACTATGTTTGCCTGTCAGTCTCATCATTCCATCAGATGCAGAACAATGTTTGGAAGATTTTACCTATCCGCAGCAGCATGCAACACTTGAGCAGTTTATATGCAACATACATGACAAGGGGGTCTCCCATGTTTCTTGAGGTGCACTTTATCTCATCCTCTCATATTATTGTTACAGACTTTGTCTTTTTAGCTCCCTGGACAGTAGCATCATCGACAGATGGAATCAGTTTACCAATGATTGCCCCATCGGCCATCAAGTTTACCCTGACAACTTTACTGCACACTCATGGGGCCTGCTAGCTAAACCTGGCTGGTTTACCTATTTTCACCATGACGTGGATGGCAGCTGCACTTTTATTCATGGTGTTGTTGGCATGAAACAATAGACCGTGGCTAACCTGAAAATCAGGACACCAGCTCTTAGACCTCATTTGCTAAGGCAGCCAGATTGTTGTGTGCTTTCCCCAAGAACCATGACAAGATTACCGCTCTGTGGGACATAGAAGTTATTATGGTAGGAAAGGTGGATATCCTGTAAGTTGATAATCTGTGATATTTCATTAATTTGACTGACATGTTCAAGTATACAACCACCTGGTCAATTTCATACAGTATATTCACCTGTGAAGGCCATTTTTACAACTGTGACACTCACCATTTATCCAAAATCTCCCGTCACTTGGTTAGCAAACATGGCAGATACTTGACGAACCAAGTTCACTTCCACTCCCTGGAAACATTTCAATGAATGGTCATCAACCTACCATGCCTATCTCACTGCACTAGTAAATATTTGAATAATGTAACCCTCTTCGACAGTCTCTAATATCTATTCTAGAGTTATATCATATATGGATGGAAATTACATATACCATCAAGTTGTACTTTAAACAATGGTCACTGCAGGCAGTGCAATGTATGATGTAAATTGAAGGCTGATCGGTCACCAAATTCTGAGAAGTGTCAAAAGTCTCAGAAGTCACAGAATCTCTGGGTGTCTATTTGATGCCAAGTTACTAGATGAAATCCACTGACAGAGTGTGAAACTATCCAATCTTTCTAATTGCTAAAGGTTCTATGCGCTTACTAGGTAGAGCACGAGCTTTCCTGCAATCCAAATATAGTCGTTTCCTGCTCATGTCTCAAAAGTCCCAGCGCAACATATGATTTCCAAATATAGCCATTAATGTTGTGGCTCAGATTTCATATCATCAAATGTTCACTTGTGTTTGACTTTGACTTGCATCATTCTGGACATCTAGCTTGTAATTTCAAGCCAGTCATCTTGTCAAACACTTTATTTCAATTTGTATCCTCATGGAAATCCAGCAGCTAGTCATTCAATCAGACATCAACTGGGCTGTCGAACACTTGTGTTTGACTTCTATCCTTGTGGAAGCTCAGCAGCTAATCATTCAATCGGACATCGACTCTTTCAAGCTCTCCATTGAACGCTTGTGTGTGACTCTGCGAACATCTAGCTCATAATTTCTAGCTGGTCATTCAATCAGATGTCAATTCCTTTAAGCCCTCCATTGAACACTTGTGTTTGACCATCTAACTCATAATTCACTGCAGGCATTTTCCTACTTCCCTCCACCAAACATCCAAAAAACATTGATTAAGATAGAATTTTCCTCTCATTTTGTCTGTGAAAACATTGAAAAAAAGTAATTCATATTTCAATGATTCTGTGTGTGATTACTCAGCTACCTCAAAGCAAATAATCACTAATGTGTAACTTGCTTTGAATTTTTACACAAAATTTGCTTATAGTAAAACTTAATGTAATAATATTGCAGATGACTGAACTACATTAAGAGTACCTTAAGGCAAGCTATACATGCTATATATATGATATCCTGTCTTATTCAAAAACTAACTTTTAGTAGAATGTGACACACTACTATTTTGTTATTATAACAAAGACCTAGTTGTTCTCATTAAGCAGATTATCCAACTAGATATCTGAAAATAAAATGAGTTAATGTTACCTAAACTCCTATCTAAGCTTGTAAATATCTATATATAATATTTCTATATAGAAGAAGTATCTTAGCATACTCAATAGACTCAGATTGTGTTATATTGTATTTAAATCTTACATCTAGATGAGACTTTATAAAAGCAACAATATTATTTACATAGTTAACATGACTGAAAAATAAATCATTAGCATAGGAGATGATATAGAACTAGCAACAAGGATATAGTAATTGATGTATAAAAATTAAGTACTATTTAGTTGGAGTCAAATATAGCATCTTCTATAAGTTTCAAACTCCTTGTCTATAATCTATCTAATTAATTCTACACCATCTAGGTACCACTCTGACACCATAGTCTTTGCTTTTGGAAGAAAAGAACGCAGTCTCTAATAATAGTCAGATGCTTTTATCTTCAACATCTTTGTACATAACTCTATCTTGTCACAGACATGTTTAATATTATATAGCCTAACTGTAAGTCAAAGAGTTAGTTGCAAAGATTTTTATTAGTGGCCTGTGAGTTGGGCAGTTGCTGTACCTATTTCCTATATTCAAGAATTAATAAACTGGGAAATGTTTGGCATAATCAGCATGTAGCTTTATAGATAGGATAGGGGTGTAGTAATAGCAATGCTACATATGATATATAGATATTGTTGATGTTTCATACAATTCATATTACTTCATTGATTTGTCTACATATATGACTATGTTATAATATTCAATTGCTTCAAGAAACAAGAAAGCCAATAATGAGATACATAAGTATCTGACTAAGTTAATGTTTTTACACTGTTAGGCTTATTATAATACATCTTGATGATACCCATACATTCATCTACTTAGTAATTCTGTATTTTTGTGTTTTTCTTATAGTAAGACTTATGACTTAGGCCTCCTTAGTGCTTATTATTACTTGTATCAAGCTATGAAATCTTTGTATTTTTCATCAGAATTATTCTCTTGCTGCTATTATGGTATATTTATATCTACCAGTAATATTATACAGCTCCTACTAGACCCCTGATATTTCTGCCACTATAACAGCACATTCACATATATGCAGCCCTTAGCTCTTAATGACAATGTCATATACTATCAAATATATCACCAGTCCCATAGTTTGAGTCATTATCTTTGTCTTTTGTTTGGGAATCCTTGTGGTCATAGGGGTAATGAATTTTCTTGCCTCAGGGATGTATAAATAGGTCAGTATGACACAAGCCATATTAGCTATAATCCTTACTTGGAGTCTTGTCCTTACAATATTTCTTATTCCCATGATACAGGCAGAGGTTAGAGACTAGTAAGGAAGACTAATTGGGCAAACTTTATATCTAGTTTTCTAAAACCTGTATAATTTGGTAAGTCATATCTAGGATTCAGAAATATAAGCTAAAGTTTTTAGACTTATCATTGTCAGATGAGTCAGCATCTGCAGAGATATCTCAATATATAGTTATGCTTCTCAGCAATCTCATGTTTAGATTCTCAATTATATTCTTCATGGATCTTAATTTGTGAATTCTTCCAATATCCTACTCTATCTTATCTCTAATTGGCCTTAAAGGGGTCCTTACAGGAACATCTGTGAAAACAGCATGCTATTTGTAAGTTTTATTTTTATTCATCACTTATCATAAAACTGATTATTTATATTGAAACCTACTAATTTACCCTCATTACTTTGCTTGTAGCAATATTCTACTACCCCTAAATCATATAGCAATAGATCCTCAGACAATGCCTGAAACCACACTATACTGTCACATTGTCATAGCACTCTGTCATGCTTGTTAATTTTAATTGAATTTTGTTTTGTATAGTATATGATTATGCTATTGGAGTTCCTACATTATATAATTATGATAGGATTGCACTTTCTGAATCAAATCAACCTAGTTTGAACAGTATAGGAATCAGCATATTCATTGAATAATGAAGGCCAAGCAGAGAAAGTAGAGACTGCTATAGCTAAGGAATAAGCAGCAACCAAAGCTGGAGTGGGCTGCAATGGAATGACAGAGCTTGTGGGCTTAGGAAAATGCATTGTTGGTGAAGATATCCTTCATGTATTTAATATCTTCATATTACTATTCAAAATTTTAGCCAGATTAGACAAATTTGTAAGACTCCCACATACAGCCACAAGATCATTGAGATAGGAGATTGAGCTTCATTAGTCATAGTATAGTACTAGAGGATATAATGGGATCATCAAGTGTTCCTACAGAAATTGCTCAGCTTGGATTAATTAAGTCATTTTTTTGCTACAGCACACTCATTTTTGTAATTCTTTTCTTACCTGGTATGAGTCTATATTTTTGTACTCAGCTACTAATTAATTACATTTTTACAAATATAATGAGGCCTCATACACTACTAATACTATCCTACAGCTAACAGTACCAAATGAGGGTGTTGTTAGCATCCTCCTCAAAGACCTTATTCTCAATGATCTCTATGAGATTTACATTAAGTCCAATGAGTCCATCAGAAAAGTACTTGCTACTTATAAACACAAGCATTGATAAGACTTTGCTCGTTAATGTTCAGCTCCCATACATATTTTTGAAGACACTAACTATTTTGCTTTGAAGTCTGGCACTTGAATGCATTCAATTTTTCCCTCCCAGGCTTTTCATAAGTGCAATTTTTTTTACAGATTCAAATGGTTGCATCTTGGTGAGCAAGTCTTTCATTTTTCTTTCCTTATTTTATCCTATGGTCCTAAGTTCTTTCTCAAGTAAGTCTTTCTTTAGTTATTATATTCAAAAAAAAATTCATTAACATATTTGCATATTTGGTAGTTTTTTTCAAAGTCCTTGTCCTTCAGTACTATCAGTATGCACTTATTGGACTGTCTGATATGTAAGTATAAACACATCCAAGTCTTAATCATTGCTATTTATATATTCATAGTCATTGTTCTTCAAATATCCTTGCTTTGAGACTATCAGCCTGCACTCACTATTGCCTGTTTGTATTTGTATATAAGTAATTTTATAAAGTCCCATACATATATTCATTCACATATTCATAGTCCTTGATTTTCAATGTCTTTGTTCCTCAAAATCATCAGTTGTATTTGTTTGTTTGTTTGTATTGTTTGCTTGTACTTCTATGTGAGTACAACTTTGAACAACCTTCCAATGAACTAAGTCTTACAATACTTATAGTCTTTATTTTCAAGTGTTCTCATCTCTATCAGTCTGCACTCACTGTTGCTTATTTGTACTTATATGTAATTGTGAACTCAACCAAACTCATTCATATACTCATACATTTTGATTTAGTATGTGTTTGCCTGTGTCTACCAGTAATATGCATATGTTTGTTTGTTTTTTGTTTGAAAATTTGGTCCTTGCTTATCTTTGCTTGTATGAGCCACTTAGTTATGAATATTTTGTTTGTATTACTACTATGTGTCTAGCTACTAGCTACTGTTAGTATGTTTGTTGTTAATGACTGATATATCTAAGGGTCAGAAATAGGATTTTGGCACATTCTGGATATACTAATTGACTTCTCATTAAAAGACATTAATATCTCATACACAATGTACAAGCATTTTGACAAAGAAAATTAAACCTGTTGCAGACATTCTTCACTGTAATAGATTTACTCTATCCTGCAATAATATATTAGTTGAGGAGCAGCTTGGGATCTTTCTAAATTGAACTATTTAGCAGATCTGGACATGGTTGACTGGTAGGGAAGCTCAGGAGAGATAAGTACAGGGCTCCTGAGCAATGAATCTGTCTACCTTCGACATATATGATGGGCAGCTTCACAAGGGTCAGTATCAAGTCTAGTACTCGACCCGAACCACAATTTTAATATATATTGTGGGTAGCACAATCTCAGAAGGAAGTAGAGCTAGACTTGTTGCAGATATCAATCCGTTATCCAGCCCCAGATAGGATCTGCCACTTAGTTTGCCTCCAGTATTACAATTAAGGAAACACAGATAGCTCTGGCAATAGATATATGGAGAATGAGTTGATATCTCACTGAGAGTCAGACCCTGGAGATAGGTCATTGTCGGGTTTGGCTGCAACACTTGATTGATCAATTCATCACTAACATAGCTAGATATATCAGGAAAAAATATGATGCCACTGACTTCATCCCCAACATGGACATCAAGTTCTTACATGATGGGCTGAATGACTCGGATGTAAGTAATAACTCTTCAGCTGAAGAGTTATCACCGAAAAATCATGTCCCAGAGGCTTTATTCAGACCCAAATTAGTCATTGTTCCTCTCCCATCCAACCTAGGCTTGGACAGGTGCAAACAGCCTGACCTGCAAAATCACAAATCAGCACTACCCAAGCCTGGGCTCAGGTGCGTAGTATAGTTTGGATAATATGTTTTGTTGCCTCCAGAAGAGCAGCTTGAGCCATAGTGTTATTGCTGGTCATGTTGGGCATTGTATTCTCAAGTAACACATTTCTCCATATAATCTGCTTCACTTCCTTCATGACTTCTTTCTGGTCCATAGGCAATGAGTAGTGTTAATGTTGTATGATAAAGAAGGAAATAATAGAGTAATGCATCCTGCATGCTTGCAGGTATTCATAAACTTTTTAGACAAGTCATTAGCAACATCGGTTAGCTACATAAATACTGTGTTTAACCAAAGAATCAGTAACAATCTTAAGGTCACGCTGTGATATTGTGAAGTGTTCAGTGAAATTGAGGCACTCTTTTTTCAGGCCATATTTCAACATCTGTAATGCCTCCATCAATGTCTCACTGATTTAGTTTCGTTTTTTTGTGTCAGTTTCTGCACTCAATGAGAAAACTTGTTCACATGGGATGGCAGAGGCCTGAATAGGCACATAGTCCATGGCAATTGCAAATAATGTTGGGTATGTCTTGAAACCAGGGACTGTTACTACAGTTGAAAGATATACAATTGGTGCAATGTACCTCCCAGAATTTGAGTATCTCAACATGTTCGTCCCAAAGGTCACCATTAACATAAGACTCATACTCTTGCTCGATAGTCTGTGGACCTTGAGACTGCTGCGGGTGCCTCACGCGCATATCTCTGAGGCCATAAAGTTGAGCGAGTGAGTTAATCGTGTCAGCCTTGGAGGTGCGAGTAGTATTCGACTGCTTGACAGCCTCAGGTGAAATTTGTTTTCGGTATTCCACCATCTAAACAATCAAATTAGCATCATGTTGGGCCATCAGTAACAACCACTCAGTACTTACGAGGTCATGGATCATGCATTCAGCATGCTTTATCCAAGCATCCTCCCAGTAGTCCTTTATCCAACTAAGTCTGACTGAGGGATCAGTCACTGTAATGTAGTGGGCGCATTGATTAGTAGATATTTATCACCAAGTGTAATAGACTTACACATAGCAATAACATATGAATCTGTCAGGTCCATGCGAACATAATATGACTTGGCCCATTCCAAGCCAACATTAATGAAGGGACAGAGTCGAGGAACTCTGATAGCGAGTGATTCCCATGCAGTCGTAAACAACTCGAAGCATGGAACTGCACTACCCAACCGGGGCATGCTCTCAGACGACATCTGTTGTTGTACTCTATAAGGCACCTGTAATTCAATAGCGAACGAGATTGAAATTAAAGATGTGGATACGAGTTATATACATACATCTAGGATCTTTTCAAAGTCTTCAAGAACTTGCCACTCTGGGTTGGTCATTTATGCTCAGAAATGTCCTGCTGATTAAGTGTGCTAAGGAAGAAGTCTATGGCCTGACACATGAATATATAGCATGAGTGAAGAATCGAAATGATGTATATTAGACTTACTGGATGCATTGCTCGCAAGCGATTGATCATAAAATATGTTGAGTTCCATCTCGTGTAGACATCGCGAAGGAGCTCGACCTCAGGAACAGTGACAAGCTCGTTCGAAGGAGATTTGAACCATTGCTTGGCATTTCCTATTTTGACGACCTCCATAAATTGATCACGACGCAGTCCAGATATTCAGATTGCTTTGATAGCTCCCCGGGCCAGTGCAATCAGGTTCTTTTTGATAGCTGCGATGTAAGCTGTTTTGCTCATCACGACACTATCAATTGTTACATCCCACGTCCCTGAGACTTGTTGTGCAGCGGCAATAGAGTTAGTGAAATGATCAGTGACATGCTGTACACATATATTCATAATATGAGGGAAACACATGACCTGCCAGTCAAGTGGGTTAAAAGTGATATCGCGTTGTGCCAGCAGTTTCACAAGTTCTTCCATACATGTTGCGTTGTTGCCCGCATTGTCCATGGTGAAATGTGCAACCTGAATTATTGTGAGTGAAAGCTAGTGTCTGATAGGTCACCATACCTTCACAGTGACATCTGCACGATCAAGCAAATACAGGATAGTCTTTGCTAGGTACTTCCCAGTGTGACTCCCTTTGATCCGACGAAACACGATCAGTGCTACTTTCAGCTCAAGAGTTGCCGACTTCTGGTTCTCTGCAATCCAATGAGCTGTCATGGCCAGATATGCACTGAGAGTCTGTGACGACCAGATATCAGCAGTGAATGAGATTTTTCCGACGGCATTCTAAGTATGATGAGAATCTGTGAATTAGTATGGACATCGAAGATATGTATAGCCATATCATCTTTCAGAGTCACAAAATACTCTTGCCACGCCTTGATAATTTCCGCATGGATCTTGGTACGGTGAGGAATATCCTTCTCACGAAGTTCTTGGTGGAGAAGTAAAAGGAGGTGTCAGAATTCGAGACACTCAATGACATTGATTGACTGTTGACCATTGTCAGTAAGACATAACGAGAGTGTGTAAGGGCTTGCCTGATCATCAGCGACAATGAAAGATACAAGATGCTGGAGGAAGGCGGTATGCGTGAACTCTGGGATTGAACCTCTATCACCATTTAATGTAGTACTCCTGGCTCCAGCTGCAGCATGGCTAGGAAGAGCAGATAGTTGGCACCTCCCTCAACAACTTTACGCATTTCAGTCAATGTGTATCCCATCTCGAGGGCCAGTTTGACACTAATGATGAAGACGGACCACCCACGTTCTTCCGCCAGAATGAGATAGAGGAGTAAATGGAACCTCTCAACGTGTCCGTGCAATGGTGTATTCCCAGTATTACCTGAGTATTCCCATTTTCTCTTTCCATGGATCCGATCCCATGCATCTGGATCTGACTTTTGCTCGGCCCTGGCAGTTTGACTGGTTAGACAAATTGATAGTGTACACTAGCAAAGATTTACTCACAAATGACATGGAGGCGCTGGGTCAGTGTCATCACTGGATCCCGATATGTTGAGGTTAAAGGATTCATCGGTGTCATCTACATTGAGCGTGCCAGGTGCGTCTTGAGATGCAGGTTGTATTAATGTAGATTTTTGCGCAATACTAGCTGCTGGGCGTCAATCCCAACGAGGACAGTGCATAGAATGAAGTAAAGGCTCTGAAGAGCACTGCAAGTTTCGAGTCCAGAACTTCAGTTTATATACAAGCATTGTATTACTGTAACAAAGAAAATACAATCAACAACATTTGTAACATGATTCACGATAAGCGAGAAAGTATGTAATAGCTTGTATATGCATGCCAGAGAAAGTGAATATGAAATTATAGGTGGACAAGGCGTGGATCAATGGACATCATCAAAAGGACTTGAATTACATGGCAATTGAGCACAGCTGTGCAAGGCTATGAGTTGGATACTTGTCATTTACCAAAGGAGAACTTACCATTAAACATGTGTCTTCTTTGTTGCCTTATCATTAGCCCCTTCTGCCTTGCGCTTCAGGAGACTGCGGTGCCAGAGCTTGTAGCGGTTATAAGCAGTTGCCCACACTGCAGTTATAACTTTACTACACCATTCAATAGATTGGCAGCTTACTTTGGACTCTAGTCTGATCTCTTCTGGTCTCTCAGTAGCCTCTAGAAGCAGCCCATCTTAACAATTTGTGGGTCATAATTGTCATTATTGCTGGATCTTGCAGGGTCTTCAACTTCGGTGATGTGCACATGCTCAGTGACATCTGCAGGCCAGTGTGCTATAATGCCAGAGTTGTAGATACTGGGGACGATGCTCTGCATAAGCTCCAGTTTGGGAATCTGCCAGTTATTGATGACCTTACCGCCTTTTCCTTGGTAGACACCAGCAACAATGATTGCATGCTTGTTCGCATGGAACTCATCTAGTGTGGCTGTGATATGACCAAGATCCTTATCATCAATACACAGTGACTGCACAAAATAACGAAAGTGCATGATTAATCACTGGATGTCTCGGTGGCAAAGACTGCTTGAGTTATGAGATATCTGCATGAAAGTGTTGATAATCAGTAGTGGGCTGTACAATCAAAAATCAAAAATCAAAAATCTATCTCAGATGCTCCCGCTGCAAGAATAATCCAGTGTGCATCATGGCTTTGGGGGTGTCTGTGATATAACTAGTGAGTACAGTAAAGCAGTAATGACGGTGACCAATGGGATCTGACAGCATGATGCTATTTTGAGCAGCCAACTTCAACGGTGTTAGCATGACGTTCAAGAAATGATGAACAAGCCAATCCTGCAATATGCCTCTCATTCGTTTGTTCTTGTGAACAAATTTTGAGACTGGGAGTAGGACAGTGAGAAGGAAAGTGTTTGAAGATAATTTGAGTTGCATGGCCATGTAGATGTTGGCCAGGCTGATAAGGAGGAGGATGTGCAACATGATTGCCTAACAATGCAGTAATGCATGTCTTGTCCGAGGATAGAATAATCCCAAGGGGAGTTGCACCATGGGGAAGTGCAGACTTAAGAACACACGAGACAATGAATTGAAGAGCATATTACACACCTGCATCTCCCAGGCATAATTACCCATCATCCATTTGGTACATATCCAAGAGAGTTTCTGTGCTGTGCTATATACCTTGCGAGATGTATAGTCAATGTAATTATGAAATAAAGGATGATTGAATATAGTAGTGATACATTCAAGAGGATCTCACCAGTAGAGAACAGCTGGTGACTTTGTGGGATGTGATGTTTGAATAACCTGAGACTTCCAATGCGGACCGCTAGGCAGTGATTCAGCTCAACCATGTAGCTCTTTTGCTAAACAGAAGAATAAAGGTAGATCATTAATCTAAGTACTGTCTCAGAGTAGTGATCATGGCAATAGTAAATTAAACACTGACCATCTCTAGCACTAGGAAAGAGTTTATTTCCTTCATGCTCAAGCCTGAATGCAGAAGCCATGTGGCAAGTTTCTATTCCCTGTGACCACTGAACAGGTAGTAAAGGTTTGTTTTGCAGTAGATGCTATTTTCATCAGCATCAAATAGGCTCAAAAATGTGTAGCCCTGCTCAAAAGCCAGTGGGGGACTCCAGAAAGTGATTGGTTACTTTGGCCTCACTGCTCTCATTTTGAGTTAGTTCTACCTTCAGAGTCCAAATTCTCTCCTTGGCTGCAAAAATCATAGTAATTCCTATCCTCCCCTTGTTCATAGTAGTAGGGGGCTTGAACATGAGTGTTGCTGACATCCATGAGATCATCTTTGGTGAGTAAGGTGGAGTTAAGTTGGATTAGATCATCTAGCCAGCTATTACATCCAGACTGAGGTTGGCTTATATGACGAGCGACAGAGGTATGGTTCTTGAATTTTTTTCTGCATAATGGGCAATGTGCTGGCGCCATGACACTGATATTGATACCTGACTCACGTACTTATAGAAAAGCAAAGTCGATCTGAATTTGGCATTTTCTGGATGTATGATGTTATCCTCATCGCCCAAGTTTGATATTGCTACTCTACAATCACTGTCAGTGCTTGCTTCTTGCTCTGATGACTCTACCCACCATTCTAGCTCCATCAACAAATGCAATGGGGCAGCACCTCGTGGTATATGTGACATATGCGAGGTTCTTGAAGCCATCAATTCAATTGTGAGTCCTTTTCATCTATTATTTCTACCATTCTTCATCACACCTTATATGCAATAGCCCGGAGCCCACAAACAAACAAACTCTGAAGCAAACCTTGTGCTTGATCTTGTAAGAGCCAAGCATGATGTTTTCCTGGCTCAGAAGGCACTTGCAGATTGTGTTATACAGGAAAATGAGGTGTTTGCAAGCCTGCTTAAAGTTCGCACAGCAGCCGCAGAGAAGAACATAGATGAGACAGACATTGGGCTGGGATGTATGAGAATCATATTCAAAGACCATGGTTGATCCCACTGCCCTCCCAATTCTCCATTATGAGGACAAGGTCAATCAAGTTCACGTGGTGCGTGTGCGTGTTCTCTTGCAATGTTGTTGATTCTAACGCTTCAGGCATGAAAGACTCACATGGGCGGCATTGTACAATAGTTTTTGATGGATTCAGAGTTTTACATCGTCATTTTGTGTTTATGCTTTCCTCATCTATTAGATATGTTGTATGTGAGGCTTATAATGGCCTTGAGTGAACCTCTTCGGCCAGTGTATGCATGTCAAAATCAACATCACCAGATGGAATGAGAGCCTCATCCTCTGAGTCATGCTCGGTCGGAGACACCTGACAGGTCTTGGCTATTGATCAAGTCGCATGACTCACTGATCTCTGTGAGTGAACCTAGGAGGTCGAGGGTGCAGCTGGTTTTGCTTGTTTGCAGCCGTGGGGCTTCTTCTCCTTGGCAGTTGCTTTTGAAGCAGTGGCAGCCTTCTTTTTTGCAACTATATCCTGCAAGGCATCTTCAGCCTCAGGAATCAGCCTGATGCACTTGACCTTCTTGTCCTCGCAGGCAGGACAGCTCTTGCAAACCTCTCCGATCTTCCGACCCAGCCAGACAACACATGGCCAATCTTCTTCTATGCATTGGACACAAGTTGTCGGATGAAGTCGCTGGGATGGCCATTCGGTGGTGGCGACAGCATTGTCATCCGACCAATCATCAGGCTTGAAATAGTAATGGTTAGTTGTGTCACTGAAGAGAAGACAAGGCGAGAGCTTACCCTTACAATGGGAGAGTCTGCACAACTCAGCTGAGGTTCCTTGAGCTCTTCGACATCGGTCAAGTTGCTCAACAAGCTGCCCTTGCTGGCAGGTTGCACTGGCACTACATGTTCAGCCGGTGCACCCATTCCTGGCTGAAGAATAATGGGACAACTTACTTTCTTGATGATGATCACTGCACCATCAGCACTTTCATCCTCATCATTGCTGACAAACCTCTTCAATCTCACTATCTTCCTTCTCTTAGAGGATGTTGCAGTCTTCTGCTGCAGTGCTGGATTTGTCTTCAAGACCTTGTGCTTTGGCTCGGTCACCCGAGTTTCTTCCCGAATATCAGAGTCGGTTCTGTCAGCCTTGCGTTTGGTGCTGGCAACAAATAAGTTGAACTTTGGCGCAGGAAGTTCTTCCGAATCCAATACCTCCAGTGATTCAACAATGGTAGATGGTTTGTCAGCAATCACTGGCAGCTGAGGGGCAGGAATAGTTGGTGCCAGAGTAATGTGATCCAGGCGTGGATATCCAATTGTCTTGTGGAATCGCACGTGACCAGCGATATGCGGGTCGTCCATGTTGACTGCAGACCAGTCGGGTAGAGTAACGATTTTTCGTGTCACAGGGTTGCTGTGGTCACGAATCTTGGCTGCACAAGACAGCAGCATGGGGGAGAACAAAGTGGAGACCTCCCCATGCTCCTATAATGAACGTGCCTGCAAGACACCCATAATGAGTTATTGGTCACAATATAATTTAATGTAGAAGACTTACAGTACTTTTTGTGATCTCATGTGTGAACACCATAGCGTTCGGATGACCTACTTGCAACTTCATGGATCTTACCATTAAGTGCTGGATGTCTTCCATCGCAGCATCAAGGGCAGCATTGGTGAGTTCAGAAGCTGACATGATAAGTACAAGTTCGGGTTGACATGTAGTTGGTTACAAGATATTAAAGTATGTTAATGAAGTTTGGGAGGGAAAAGTGAGGGCAAGGGCTGAGTATTTATAGGGAACGACAAATTGTGGAGATAACTCGGTCGTGGAATGTGACATTATTGGCAATTATTGTTCCCTGCGGTAAATGTGGGCTGAAGATCAATAAAATTATATTAGTGGCGCAATCTCGGCGCCTATCGTGAGAAATGTTCTATTTTCATTGTTGCACGTGTCCACAGCTGCTTTGTGGAGCCGTTCCACTGTGAATTCATCAAAGTCCATTGTTCCTTGCATCCACCCGAGTGGTGAGCTAACTTCTATAAAATCAGGCACGTTCATTTTAAAATTGCATTTCCTCCCATCATGGCTTCCCACCGCATGCACTTCACTCCACCTGTGAATGAAACTCGGCCTGATCCTGTTGCAACAACAGGTGAGTCCCATTCACTTCAAATGCAAGAAGCTCGTCGAGAATGGTGGGGTAATTTTGTCCCCATAGCCGATTGGGTGCCTCTGAAAATGAACAAATCCAAATTTGATGGAATGAAAATACAAAGTAAGTCCATTTTTAAGCACCTTGGCAAAGCAAACTAATTTATCAGAGTATCACATTTCACCTGAGATAGACCAACCAGGAGACCCTGCATGCCTGTATGATAGGGCATTTGCCAGTGCAAATGATACCATCAGTGAACTCACAGGTAAGTCCATATGTAATAATATCGGCTTCTAATAAAATATGACTTCTAGCCATGTTTCAAAATGAATGGGTCAGCAATAGACGGGCTGCCAACGCCGATATGGATGTGAGCTATGACCTCGGGTGGCATACTGCACCCAAAGCGGGCATTGATTCAGGTGAGATGACTGGACAGTCCATTGGAGTTGACCCTGAGGCCAGTTATGACCTTGGGTGGAATTCTGCACCCGATGCAGGTGACTTGACACCTGGAGAGTCTTTAGAAGTCAACCTTGAGGCTACTTATGACCTTGGGTGGGATTCTGCACCCACTTTGCATTCTGATTTACCACCCGAAACCACGCAACCATTGAGTCAGCTAGTTTTTATTCAGTGTTGGCACAGGAGGAGGCCTCTTGCCCGATGGGGCTGGAGCTGAGGCAGACTTGACAGGGTTTGGCAGGATGGACGAGGTGCCCTCTTTACCATGCGGCTGCTGAATCTGATCTCGGCGTCATATTTCAGCAGTACAAGAAGCAGGACCAATCTTGCGACCAGAATTCTGCTTCACCCGAGGTTTCTCTCCCACCCAAGGTTTCTTTGCCGGAGGTTTTACATTCTCCTCAGGTTCTTCAACTTGTGAATATTCTGACGAGTCTTTGAGCTGCCGAGGCGTGCTTCGTCAGTGGTTTTTGATTGTGCTTCACCTGGGCTGGCAACATACAAGGCTCGTCACCGTTAGAGTCTGCCTCCAAATCTTCCCATGATTCTTCAACCACCTGCCTTGTCTTTCTTAGTTGTACCTGGCATTGTGGTACTTTCTCGGGAACTATTTCATCATCTGAGCTACCAGTAAAATCATCATCCACCCGGCCTGTTGCAGTCTTCCCCCGAGCCATTTTCCTTGACGAAGACTTTTTAGTTTTCTCCGCCTTAGATGAGTATCTGATGCTACAGGTTTCACAGGAGATTTCACTTGGTCCTTGCACCACCACCTGCTCAATTTCAGAATATGACAATCTGATGCCTCCTGTTGGTTATACCAGAATTTGAGCAAGGCCGTGGCTTCCTCCCGGTTCATCCTTGATGGCTCCCGAATTCGTGCACCATCCGGTAAGTACTTCCTCGGTAGCATTTCATCTTGTCAGGAAGATAGTTCCTTCCACGGCACAGAGTCTTTGGGCCTCCTGGAGCATGCGGCTGTATTTGATTTAAGATCATCTGATTTGTTGGGGCATGGAAGCGACCTACTGTAATGCCAATTTAAAAATGCTCGGACCACCACCTTCCTGGTTCCCGATTCCATCTCGTTGTAGTTCGGGAGGACGGGGACACTGCTGTCTCCTATGTCCAGCATGTATGTGTTGTCCTTCCTCCTGGCCTTATGCACCACACACTCATCTTCACCATCACCATCTACCGGGAGCACATAAGTCAGAAGTAAATCATCTACCGAGATTCTTAAACATTTCTTACCAAACAATTTAGCCACATATGGCTCCCACTCGGGCAATATGACCTGCCAGTCGCAGGTCTTTGTAAAACTTTCTGCCCCACCGAACTCATCGTTATAGTCGTGGCTTTTGGAACATGAGACATGTCTTGTTCGGGCGATGAAAACCAACTCACCCGGTCACCAACAGCTTGCCCTCTTCTGTCTTCCTTGCAGCCAAGACAAACACCCTCATTCCAGCCCGTTTGTACATCTCACTGGCGAAGTGGTGGATCATGCTCTCGCTCTTCTTTTTGGCGATGTCTATCTGCACCTCGGGAGGAACGCCCTGACTGTTCCATTCTTCTGCTGTCTTGACGGCCTCCTGAATCTCTTCCTCTGTCAAAGACTCTATCAATGCACTCAAATACTTCGAATAATGCTGGATCATTTCCGTTGATCCCGGTTTTACCCCTGTGTCATCCTGTATCTTGTTCAACAGCTCCTGTTTCCAGAGTGTGTTGATGACCCAACGATAAGTCCACCTCCTCCCCATGTTGATGGGGGGTTTTTGATCCTGCTTCCTGCCTCTGTGATTGCGAAACCAATTTCGGTACACCTGAAAGATGAGTCCGAAGGCATTCCTTACGAGCTGCTCTATAGACTCACCTTCTTTTGTTTCTCAAGCAGCTGTTTGTCCTTGGTTGGGGCCTTTAGTCGAGTCTCTAATGTCGCATCCTTCCATACCTGATTCCGGTCTTCACCTGAAGCAGACTCCCATTGTTCGACATAGGACTGCAGGACTTCAAGCTCCTGTGGAGTCAATGGCGGCTGCTTATTTGCATCCTTGGCTGGATTAGAGTCGCTGTCTGGCATATATGTATGTATAGAATGGATAATGTGGGTGTGGAAGGGTGGAGAAGGATGTGAGAGATGAAAGTCTGTCGAGTCTAATGGAGGTGGGTTCAGTGAATGAAGAATGTGTGACACTGGACCATCAGCATTTTTGGTTAACGGTTTGGTGACAGTATTATGTAACAGACTACTAGATCATATCATTATCACTTGCACAAGACAATCTTATGATATCATTCTGTAATAGACTAGCATTAAGCATTATCACTCAGCTGCATGCTTCCATAGCATCATTCTGCAATAGACTGGAGTAGACGATCACTACATGAAATGCATCTGACGATGCAACAGAATAGTCTTTCATGCCATTATGGTATCCAAAATTATTTGGTCATGATTACATAATAGGCTAATAGAATCTATAGGTAATGCTGTGATTACATTAACAACGACTTTGGTTGGACCTCTGATTTCATGTTTCAGCCCAATGGCCAGGACAATGATAAAGGAATGCACTCCTTGGGGCACAGCTCAGCTGGTGGAATGGAAGCCGAAGAAAACCACCCGAGGTCTCAAACCCAGGTGGGTCCTGGTTAAACGGACTCAACCAAGCAAGTCTGTTTCATCCTTGCCGACAAAATCTCCAACCAAGTGAGGTTCAGACATCATGCATCATCAATTATTCTCAGACTGCGATGTCGATTTCGACCACGGAGGGCAAGGGCCCATTCCATTCCCAAATATGAAGAGGCAGAGGAAGAAAACAAAGGCAAGTCTGTTCCCACATCTCCATCCCCATCTACTGGTTTCTGGCTGACAGCATCATCACAGGGTCCAAATGACTACCTCAGGGAATGGAAACACAGGACCAAGGATTACCTGGATATGTTCATGGCAAGGGAGGCTCCTCATTCAGACAGGGTGTGTTCATTGTGCAACCGAGACAGAGCTTATAGATGTCACGACTGTTTTTCTGAGCCAATCTTCTGCAGTGAGTGATGCCGAACACAGCATGTCCGACTGCCATTTCATAAGATTAGTCAATGGAACGGAGACTTCTTTGAGGAGAGCTCATTGACGAAATTGGGCATGGAGTACCACCTCAGCCACAGGAGACTCCCATGCCCGATGAACGTGGGAGGACATGAAGAGATCCGTTGGGAGGAAAAGGATGTATTTGACAACAATTCGGTGGATATGCCAGCCATCAAGAAATTTACTAACAATGAGGACACCTCTCCAACCAATGGTACTTCAAGACACAGGGGAATGCCTGTCATCAGGTGCATCGCGTGGGTAACAGTGATTGACATCACTGGTATACATTATCTCATAATCTGTTTCTGCCAATGCACCGATGCTCCCAATGCGAGAAACAATTGTTTCAAATGGGTTTGTTCATGGCCTCTTTCACCCAGCCTAGGACAGCATTCACATTTGCCTTGCTGAACAATTTTGCGCTTGACAATGTAGAGTCCGGCAATTCTGCTATGAACTACTACAATAAATTGCGGCGGAGAACGTCAAGTATCTTCCCTCACCTAGTACCGGTAGGACACATCTAGAGGATGGCTGCATATTGATGCTGATCCAACAGCTCGGCAGGATAGATACAGGGAATTGATGAGAGTGGCAAGGCAATGGCGGCAGCTGAAGCTTCTCAGATGCAATGGTTTCGCTCACGGAAAAACGCATCCTAAACTGGGCGAGCTGGGTCTCTTCTGCCTGACATGCCCACAACCCAGGATCAATGTTGCGCTGCCAACACAATACAATGAAAATCTCCACCCAACAAATCCGGATGATGAAGTATGGCTCATGGATGGCCTCAGGTTCATGGTCGGTAGAAAATGGTACAAAGCTCACTTGGCTGTAGCAATGGATTCAATGCAAAGGTCCAAGTGCAACAACCACCGGGCGGTAAATCAGGCCAATGCAACTCGGCACAAACTGGAAGCTACAGGCATTGGTGGATGTGCGTGTGCCAGACATGGATGCTTTGTCTCTCATTCCATGGTAGATTTTCAAAATGGCGAGAGGTGAGACATCCTGAGAATGACTTTGTTCACATTGGCCAACCTTCGGGACCAGGCAAATGAACATGGACTACGTGCTATGCAATGCTCTCAGTTACAACACTGAAGGATTGGAAACTGCTTTGACATTTTACGACATGAATTGCCAGTACAACAAATATCTATTGCGTCGGGTCGAGGAGAGCCCATATTTGGCAATCCCATTTGGAATGGAGGTCATCCCAGGAATTGGACTTTGGCATGTGCGCGGTCACCAGGACCAGTGCTACATGAGATACACTTCGAATTTTATCATGGGAGCGGCAAGAATCAATGGGGAGATCATGGAGACACTGTGGGCACCTCTCAATATCATATCTCCTTCCTGCCGAGGTATGTCCACTCCTCATTGGCAGGAGTGTCTTGACTACCAGATGAACGACTGCAATTTCATGAAGATGATTAGGATGAGTGAGACATCTGATGGCTGCAGATAGCCCCGCTGATCATCCTGCAGGCACACTCCTTTGTCGGAAATACAAAGAAGTCAAGCGAGGTGCTGCCGGGAGCAGCGAAGCCTTCAAAAAATTGAATGAGAGCGCGGATCCTGACACAGTGACAGAATGGGAGGAGCAAGAAACAGCTGCTAATGCATCTCGGGTGGAAGACCCGTTGTCCATGGATATATATGAGGTTCAGTTGGAAAAAGGTAGGTATCATGGCAGGCATAATTAGCTGGGCAACAATCAGTTGACCCGATTGTAGTGCTGAGTCGGAAACAAGTGGAGCTTGATATCCTGCAATCTCAAGGGCATCGACCCGAAGCTCATCGCAGGCTTGGCGCTGCCACCTGGATAGCATCCGGCATCACTATTGAGGAGTCCCAGATAGCTTTAGCCATGGACATATGAAAGCTCAGCAGACATCCTACTGAGACTCAGAAACTGTCTATCGCCCGTCGCAGGGTCGCTTTGCAACACACCATTGATGAATTCAACTGTGCTGCTGAACAATATCTCAGTCAAGGTTTTGACGCAGATGAAGATGTGCTGGACATGAATCTAGCATTCGTCGACGATGATACAGATACTCCCAAAGACAATTGGCAGGAAGTTGGCATAGAGCCCTCAGAAGATGGTCCCACAGCAGTCTTTTGCCCCGAGATTACTGTCATTCCTCTTCCATCAAACATCAGTTTGGCATGGCGCAATGAACTGTCGGTGACAGACCTTGTCACACAGGAGATTACCCTGAGAGAAGGACAGGCCAACAATCTTTTGCACCTTGAATGATGAGCCCACAGATACGGAGCAGGATAAAGTATCTACATTTTTTTCTTCTCTATTCTTGCATTGATTATTTGTACTCAAGGCTTACGATGTTCTCAAGTGTCGCCATGCAAAGAACAGGCAGCGAAAAGCTCCTTTGCCAACCTATCTGTCGAAGGGGAAGGGAAAGGAATGGGCACGCACTTTTAAGCTGTCTGGAGGAGCCTCTGCTGTTCAAGCGGTTCATAGATGCTCACCTACACTTCACTCATGTCCCTCTTGTTCAAAGTCTCCACGTCGACAATCATCTCAGCAAGACAGACATGTACGCACTTCATCCTCACATACGCAGTCTCCTCTTCAGTGCCCATCTCGACCAATCACTTCGTCAAGTTGTAGTCATACACAGCCCACATCTCATAGGAGCTCTCCACCATGCTCTCCATCTGACCATACTGTACCTTCACACCGTGAACGTTCTCGTACCTCTACACCTGAAGATGCTCATCAATCTGGCAACAGCAAATGAAAGGTCAAGACAAACCAAGAGGATCCCTCGAAGCTAGGATTTTATCCGCCCACTTGGCAAACATTCCTGCAGATGGCCAAGTTAGAGATGCAGTTGCAGGCTGTTATAGCTACTCCAGTTCCGGAATCCCAGGAAGCCCTTAACCTTCCAAGAGAAGTCTTGGACACTGTGCTATGGACATACCACGAGAAGAAGATTAAACTCGAGAGAGGTATGTTCTCCCTACTCCACCATCTACCCTTCTCACCTCCATTTTCAAGGCTACTTTCTGGAGTACACCATGCAGATGTGCTGGCTGGTACATTCTTTGTTTATTAATGGCTCATGCGCTCGCTGATACCATGTCCATGAGCTTTGCAATGATCTCTTCACCTTTCACACAGAACTCAAGAAAATTGTCATTTCTATTGCCAAAAGGGCATACAATATCTTCCCGCAGGGCTCCACGATGCGAAAGGAGGAATGTCAAAGGCAGGTCACTGCAGCCACCACTAGGCTCCTCAAGAGTGGTGACTACCTCCGGCTCCCTGACTCGTCTGGTGTAGGTTGTGATTCCTAGTCATAGCATCGTTTAAAATTAATTTTTGCAGGGAAATTTCAAGAACTTCACAGTGCAGGCTCTCAAGGACGCTTGTCTCGAATTCTACTACAGCAACAGTAAGAAAGCATTAAAGAACATGGACGAATTCCACTGAACAATCCCTGTTAATGCAATGCTTCTTGTAGCAGCGGTGGTATGCTTACAATTCTTTATTTTTTCATCGCTGATAATTCGACAGTTGAAGGGTGTTATCTCTGGCTTTCATGAAACCGGCACCGACAAGGTTCCTGAACTAACTGCTGAGCAATGTAGGACCCACTTCGTCAACTTACGGAAAAAAAACACCTTTTGGTTCCGTACCAAGTGGCACCCCGACTAAGACCCCGAAAAACCGTCCAAAACAGCTAGCAAACCGCCCAACAGCGGAGATGGCGTCATTGCCGTCCCATTTCAAATTCTCCTAATATCTCTGCTTCTCTCTCTAAAGTACATATACGCTAGACCCATAAAATCATCACAAATCAACAAAAACATAAGAAAAGAACAAAAAGCCTCACAATGCCGCTAAACCCTAAAGGACACCAAAAGACAAGTACACCGCCAACGCGGTCATCCTCAAGACTAGCTGTAAACGAGATTATAGCTTCGAATAGTGAAGTCAAGGACATAGTGAGCGCTCAGAACTATCTCACTCAGACGGCAATGGCCATCAGCGGCAAACCGTACTCCATTGACAACCTTTCAGACATTCTCTTCCACATCACGCAGCTCCCAGGAATGAATCTCCCAGCACAGAATGCCATAAGAGCAGTAGCTTTTCTACTCGAAGAAGCGGCTGAAATAAAAATGGCAGACAAAGTAGCTAAACTAGTTCTAACCGCCATCACTCCGCAAATTGCAAAGCTACAAGACACCTCGGAGAACATCACATCATCTGCATCAAAGCTCGAAACAACACAGGCTAAGATCACTGACGTCTCATCGAACCTCTCTGGGAACACTGCTGACAGAATTATAGACTCAGCAACAATAGATTCACATCTTGAAAAGATGCAAGAAGCTGTCACTACACTAACCACGCAAGTCAAAGAAGCAAACAATCAAGGGAACTACAAGAAGGCGCTACTCACAGGACTCGACACCAACACCGACCCTCTAACAACCCAAAGAGCAGCCAGAGACGCCATCAAAGCCCGCCAAATCCTAATCGACATCAACAAGGATAGTCAACTTGCCCCAGGCAAAGTCTCACACGCACAATTAGTCGACTTCATCAACAAAGCAATCAAGACCATACCCACCCAGGACTCCCCATCATTAGAAATACGCGCAATCAACCAGTTCAGGAATGGAGGTACAGTTATCGAAATGATGACAGCAGACGGAGCGCAACACCTCAAGAAACCGGAAATCAAGAAAAAGTTCCTCGAAGCACTAGACCCAATGGCATCCATCAAAGACCGCACATACCAGGTAATAATCCAATTCGTTCCGCTAACCTTCAATCCAGGAAACCCAGACCACATCGACAACCTCGAACAAGAGAACAACTGGAGCCAAGGTGTTCTAACATCTGCACGCTGGGTCAAGCCCCCGGAAAAACGCAACAATACTCAAAGTGTCGCTCACATCATGGCATCATTCAACGACCCGAACGTAGCTAACACTAGCATCTGAGACGGCATTACTCTCAACAAATACCGCCTCCAAGTCAAGAAGAACAAACGCGAACCCATATGATGCGCGAAATATCAACACTATGGTCATATAGCAAAGGAATGTATCTCTCACAGCGATGTCTGCGCTAACTGCTCGGGACCACACAGAACTAGTGAATGCACAGACAAATCAAGCACGGTATGCACTTCCTGTCAATCTGAAGACCACGCAAGCTGAGACCGATCCTGCCCAACCTTCATCCGCAAATGCGCAGACCTCAATGCCAGACAATCCGAAAACACAATGCCCTACTTCCCTACCGACGACACATGGACTCAAGTTCAAGCACCTTCCAAAGCCAAACCGTTCATCAGGAAGGAACCTACGCCGGAATATTCGGAACCCCCTCAACACACGCAAGGCACGCTCAAGAGACACTTTCCCCCTAGAGGAAGCCATAACACCAGAGGCTCACACCTACACCCGTCCCTCGGATTCTCATCTCATCAACACAACTCCCAACAGCAACGTTCAGTAACGCCAGCACGCTCCACTAACTCCCTTTATGTCTAGGACACTCAATGAACAAACAGTAAGACTATGAATCTGGCAAGAAAACTTAAACAAATCGGACACCGCCCAACATTGCATCCTTAGCGGCCCCTTCACGGCAAAAGAACAAGATATCGTCGTAATCCAGGAACCCTGTATTGACTTTCTAGGTAACACAAAGGCAACACCGGACTGGAACGTTATATACCCCTCGAATAGATATACTAATCCCAACAGACCATGCACAATCACCCTCATCAACAAACGACTCAATGCCAACAACTGGCGACAACTCCCATTCCCCTCATCAGACGTAGTGATAATCCAGCTCAGCGGACCCTTCGGCAAACTCACTATCATCAATATGTACGACGACTGCAAGAAACGAGAGGTCATCCCAGCCATCTCGGAATATCTAGAAAGGGAGATACGCACTATCTGCCCCTCCGCCGGAGATCACATAATTCTAATGGGCGACTTCAATGCACATCTGTCATATCCCGTATTCCGGACCTACATCCGACAATATTCCCACGCCTCATCCGGACCTTCGGACACCCTATCCATGTCTCCAGTCCTCTACCCATCCGGATCCCTGCACCTCTGCACATTCACATCCGCGCATCCATGTCCAGATCCCTTTACCTCTGTACATCACACCTCCATACCTCCGCAGCTAGCCTGCATCATTCATCCTTTGTCCTATTGCCCTAATATCATATCCTGTATATCCACGCTTCTTGTCCGGACATCCGGTCCAGTCCGGTGTAGAAACAACTATACTGCGAGGAGCAAACAAATGCTCCAAACTGTATCTATAATGTTGTGAGGTCGCGCGTTGCCTAGTCTGCTATTCTTGAGAAGACAAGTGCGTTCGACCCTAAAGGGGAAGCGAGTGCAGCAAGGTTCTAGAAGTAGGCGCTGAAGGCGCTACTGGTCGGCCAATGCGAAGCACGAGAAAGCGCGCAGGTACGCGCGAGGCGCGGGAAAGCGAAGGTACGCGCGCGTGAGCAGAGACAAGTGAGAGTAAGTGTGAGTTTGCTTAAGTGGTGATTAGATGAATAACAAGAGATACGAGCGCGAGGTGTCAAAGAATAGATTGCAACTATATTCTCTAGGTGGTAAGTGGGTAAGTGGGAGGTAAAGTCCAAAGTTCGAAAGTTTGTAATAGTATGTAATGCTGGCGCTTATATACGGCGCCTAAGCGCTGTCACGCGGAGCCGAAGCGCTACCGAGTAAGGTATGTAAAGATATATGTATGTAAGTAAGGGTCCATGATATAAATAAAGGTGGAATGATATGTAAATAAGGGAAATGGAAATACACGCACTAGAGAGCTTGGTGGACAGTGGATGGATGCTTCTGGATGGCTGGCGCTATAGGGCGATCAAGCGCGGGAAAGCGCGCGCGCGTATACATCGTAAAGCGCGGGAATGGTGCGCGCATGGCGCGGGAAAGCTGCGCCTCATATAGGGATAGCTGCAGATAGCACACAGAGTGATGCTACAAGTTCGTGCTATGTACTCCCTAGTGAATACTGCCATATCATGCCATGAGAGGCATGAGTCTCTACACCGGTCCGATCCGATCCGATATACGATAAGCTTCCTAATTCAATTCCTGTGCATATAATGTTGACACAGCCTATTCCTCTATTCGGTATTCCTTGTCCTCGGTATCTCGGTTATACTTACTACCGGTACGCTTACTGATCCGTTAACCTATGCTTCATTTCCGACTCGCGCTTGATAACTTTGCTTATGCTTCATACATAGCCTCGGACGCTTGCTTACTGATCTTTCCGTTATTTCCTTAGTATATAAACTCTTGTATATGTCCTGTAGTTCCTCAGTCTGAATATCATATTAGTCCTCGCACTAGATCTCACTCTAAGTCCTCACATCAGTTCTAGTCTATCGACTTAGTCAATATCCATCTCGGGCCTAGGGAGAAATTCCCTAGGCCAGAGCTCCGCTTATCCGCTCATCCGATCCTCTGAAGTTTCCGGACGTTCGTCCGAAACTTTCCCGCGGTCCTCCGGACCTATTCTGCTTCGGACTTTGTCCTTGCAGCCTTTCCTCTGTTTGCTTCTACTTAGGACTTGTCCTAAGTAGCCATTACACGTATCCGTATCAGGACGAAACCTCATCGTAATTTCCGGAAGTTCCTCCGGAACTTTCCCGCACTCGTCCGGAAGTTACTTGCACTCGTCCGGAAAGTCCTTCCGAACTTTCCCGCGCTTCGGATGTCCTTCGGACGTCCTTGGACTTTCTTCGGACATCATTCTGAAATTAAGGGCACATACTCGGGTAAGGGGCGCAGCGCACGAGCTGAAGCCAAGCCCCTCGGAATCAGTCCTACCCTTTGTGCACGGTCTTAACCACATCACCCACTCTGGGAGGAAGATTGCAACATACACCTTTGCACACCTCCAGACACTCAGGAAAACGCGCAAAACATTATTAATCTGATGGCCGACTACGACTTACAGATGGCTCTTCCAAAGAACATCCCGACTCTCCAATCCTCAAGCAGCGGCAATTGGACAAGACCAGACAATGTATTTTGCACGTCCCACATGCTAGATTCGTTCACTATCTGCAATACTACTCCTAGACGCCGACCGCCATGTACTGACCATGTTCCCATCATTAGCTCCCTAGATCTAGAAGTCCCCCGCGCCTCAACAGCCACGACAGTCAACTACCGCGAAGTTGACTGGGAAGAATTCAATAGCTCCCTCGCCCGTCACCTCAGTGCATACCCTCCCCCAGCACTCATCACCTCAGAAGAACAGTTTCAAATGGACGCCGCCAATCTTAGTGAAGCCCTTAAACGTACCATAGCCGACAAAGTCCCCAAAACGAAGCCATCCCCTCATGCCAAACAATGGTGGATGAAGGAGCTTACAAAGATGTTAAAACAGAAAGACCAGCTAAGTGCAGAATCGTATAAGATGAGAGGACTACCTGACCACCCCATACACGAAGAACATCGTAAGTTCCGCAACCTAACTACCGAAGCCATCCACAAGACCAAGCAAGAGCACTGGATCAGCTTCCTCGAAGAACTCAATTAAGAAAGCGTCTACACGGCCAACAAAATCGTGATGAAGCCCTACGGCGACGGAGGAAGAACAAGTATCCCCGCCCTAAAGACCAAAGACGCCAACGGCAACCAAGTAGAAGCTATCACGAATGAAGATAAGAGTATAGCCCTAGCTGAAGCATTCTTTCCGCCTCCTCCTCTCACCAGTTCAGTCCCTACTAACTTCAACTATCCAGAACCCGTCACCCCCTTCACTCCCATCCTAGCAGCACAACTCATTCGCACCATCAACAACACCAGCTCGTATAAAGCTCCCGGACCCGACGGCATATGTAACATAGTATTTAAATGTGCGCAACACCTCCTCGTCCCCCACCTCCTACGCCTATTCAACACAGTCTTCACCCTCCAAACATATTACGACCCATGGCGAGAGTTCACGACCGTAGTCCTACGCAAACCAGGAAAGACTGATTACTCCATCCCGAAAGCGTATCGTCCCATAGCCCTAATTAATACCACTTGCAAGCTACTTACCGCCCTAATAGCAGAACAAGTCACATGTATCTTAGAACAACACAACCTCCTCCCAAATACGCACTTCGGTGGACGCCCAGGCCGCACCACAACAGATTCCTACACCTCCTAGAAGCTACTGTCAAGAATGCGTGGTGTAACAACAAAGTTGCTTCAATACTCTTCCTGGACATCGAAGGTGCCTTCCCCAATGCAGTAACTGACCGGCTCGCTCACAACATGAAGAAAAGACGACTCCCCCCGGAAATAGTCGATTTCACAGTCAGAATGCTTACAGGACGACGCACGCAGCTACGCTTCAACGACTCAACTTCAAAGTGGATAGACGTTCGAAACGGAATAGGTCAAGGAGACCCCTTATCTATGATAGCTTACTTGATATATAATGCTGACCTTGTAGACATAGCTAACCCCCGCAAACAGGAAACAGCACTAGCCTTCGTCGACAACACGGCCTTCATCGCCATAGGCCCAACGTTCGAAGCCACCCACCGCACCCTGAAAGATATGATGGAACGACGCGATGGAGCACTCCAATGGTCTCAAGATCACAACTCAAAATTCAAAGTTAACAAATTTGCCCTAATAGATTTCACCCGCAGCAAAACCTGTCACCGCCCTCCACTAGTTATTCAAAACACCACAATCAACCCCACTGAGCATCACCACTTCCTCGGCTTGTTCGTTGATCAGGAACTAACGTGGAAATATCACACAGGTCACGCAATTGCTAAAGGAGTCGAATATGTCCTCCAACTTCGCTGTCTTGCCAAGCCCACCAACGGAGTATCAGCCAATCTCATGCGTAAGTTATATATTACGGTAGCCATCCCCAAGTACACCTACAGAGCGGATATATGGTTCCGTCCAACCTTCAACTCGTATACAGGCTCGCCTCGGAAAGGATCTATGGGAGTGGCCCGAAAACTAGCTAAGGTACAATGTATCGCGACACTGAGCATCACAGGAGCAATGAGATCAACAGCTACTGACACCCTAGACGCACACTCGAACCTCCTCCCCATCCCCCTTCTCCTCCAGAGAATATGTCACCGTTCAGCTCTCCGCCTAGCTACGTTACCAAACCGCCACCCCCTACAACCCCTCCTGAAGCACATAGTCCGACACCGGAACATACGAAGGCATCGCACGTCGCTACACGACCTCCTAGCTACGTTCCAAACCCTCCCAAGTGAAATGGAAACATTGGACCCCATCCTACGCCTAAACGCCAGTCAAAGAAACGTCGTCAAAAATCATATCACACCGAAAGCGAAGGAAGCCATCAAAGAACAGCAAGAACTCAAGGACATGATACAAATTTTTACTGATGGCTCTGGACACAATGGAGGCATAGGAGCGGCAGCGGTTCTACTGCAGGAAGGGCAAGCACCCCACACACTGAAGTATCACCTAGGATCAAACAAAGTGCACACCATATACGAGGCAGAAGTGGTTGGACTCACGCTAGCTACCAAACTTCTAGCGACAGAATGCAACGTCACCTATCCGGCATCCATTTTCATAGATAACCGCGCAGCCATCCAATCCGGTGAGAGTCACATTGCAAAATCGGGCAGATACTTAGTAGAACATTTCCGCAGACTATCAAGAGAGCTCACTCTACGCAGAGAGCATCACGGAAACGACTTCGATCTAACAATTCATTGGATACCAGGACACAAAGGAGTGGCAGGTAATGAACTCGCTGACGTAGCAGCAAAAGAAGCAGCAAAGGGCCCCAACGAATCAAGCGCCAAACACAGACTCCCAAAGTTCCTTCAAGATGATCCGCTGCCGGACAGTATATCCGCCCTGAAACAGTGGCACGAGGACGCCCTACAGAAACGCTGGAGCAACATGTGGAAAAACTCACCCAGATACGCCAGAACCAACATGATCGACCCCACCATGCCATCCAAGAACTTTCTCCGCCTCGTAGCCCTCAGTCCACGTCGACAGACCAGCATATACACTCAACTCCGCACCCGCCATGTACCCCTCAACTACCATCTACACCATCTCAGAAAGAGCGCAACCCCACACTGTCCCATATGCCCCGGTACAAATGAAACCATCCACCATTACCTACTTGACTGCCCCCAATACATCCGCGAACGTCATATACTCTCTAATGCCCTACATCGTCGAGCCTCCTCCATTTCCTTTCTCCTAGCGTCAGAAGAAGCAATGAAACCGCTTATGCGTTTCATCAATAGCTCAGGACGTTTCAAAGCGACATTCGGTGAGATCCCGCTCATATAAAAAGTTCACTCTTTCACATATAGCCTATATACTACAGAATAATACGCCCGCGACCCACAACCCAACCAAACCCAAACCCAAACCCAACCTACAAAACTTAGAACTAATCCAAAACTAAATTCAAACTAATCCAAACTAATTCAAAACAAAACCACTCCACATACCAAGGAAACGCTGCTTGCAGGACAAACAGCACTGGAGGACCGGAAGTAGCAGGCTAGGATGAGGACAAAGAGGAATGAAGGCCCAAGCACGAGACAAGACGAAGAAGCAAAAGACATCGCATCAGAAACCCAGCGAAAACACCAAACGGCACCCCCACTCACCCTACCTAGTTCTCACCTACCCATACTTTACCCCAACAGCTGTTCCCTTGTACGAAGTTGGCAGTCGGCCTTGGCCCGACTACACGCCAATGGAGTACGTGTCAAAGACCCCAGAACACATACAGTACATATACACTTACAGTAGCTAGCCGGGAGTAAGCCCCCCGCACTCGAATAGGGCTATGTCCGACATAGGGTCTATGACCCCAAAGGACAATAACAATGTTTTTTTTTTTTTAAAAAAAACTTACGGAAATCGATTGACACCCTGCTCGACATTCCGGAGTGTCGCAAAGAGCTTGAAGACATGTTGGAACAATGGGCTAGGATTGGCATGGGGGATTTCAATGAGTATGCAGATGCGAGTGCGAGCGATGCAGAGGACGTTAATATCATACTTTAGTAATGCTCTGATCAATATGCCATGGTTTTTTCGTCAGACAATCATTACCACAGTTTGGTTCATGTTTACTGTGTGAAGCTGTAATTAAATGTATACTTTGTATGGTCTGTATCGTGTGTGCAGTTTGTCTGCATTGTAACAAGATGTACAGATTGTAGGGGTATGTGACAGTATTGTAAAGGGGGGACTTCCTTGTGTAATTGTAATGTTTGTACAATGCTGTACAATCTTGTACACTATTGTACAGACACCCCCTAGTTTGCTGATGTGGAGGAAGCAAGAACATTTAGGTATGTGCTATATTTAGATCCTCCACGAGGCCAGGTCTCTCAGACCATATAACCCTAACATAATAATAGGGTCTGAGAGACCTCTAATACTCCCGAGAAGTGCTGCTTGAGGTGGCAAGACTGACAGTCTAACTTTGCAGAATTGTGCAAGTTTTGGCCGAGTTGCTGCCAGTGAGCAGCAATTTGTGACTCCAAACACAATCTCACTCCTCCTGTCACGTCCTGCATCTCAATAGTACAACATTTGTATCTCTCAACACCACTCAGTTATCATGTCAGAAAAAATTAGAGTGGTATTAGAAGGCAATGGAAAATCACTAGTAAAATTCCTGATTTTTTTAACACATGTGCTGGCTTCCCTCCGATGGATCAGTGTGGAAAACACACATTCTGAGCAGTGTTTCACTGCCGCAAGCACTTCTCGTCCATTTTTCGTGGAATAAAACATACAAACAGTAAGCTATCAGTCAATCATCCTCTAGAATAATTGTGCAAAGGAAATGAGTGAAATATGAGTGTGCTACATTGTGATTTGCAACACCGGGCCAGAGATAGTAGCTCAAACTGCACGTATCTACCAACAACACCACTTGTAGGACGTGAACACGAACTCGTAGGACCATCTTGAACCGAATTGGAGTTTATGCCCCATCCATGCCTAGTGCAAGGGTGTCTCCTCTTCCACCACTCTTTACTCTCTTGCTGTCTGTTGGTAATGGCTCGAAATCCAGACTCGCTCCCCGACCTACCTCCTCCTGCAAACGCCGCAGGGCTTGCTTGTGCTTTAACCTCCCTAATTCTCTCTTGGTAATACCCCCATCATTTGATCCACTATCTGCAGTTGCTACATCATCGACACCCATCTCAGACAAGTCCTGGGTCCTGTCCTCAGCTTCGAAATGCTTGGGAAGCGCCAAGAGATCTAAGTATAGGTCCAGAACTTTGAGATCAGCTTGGGTGGCTAGAATTCCCGTCATAATTGAGTCTGAAGTAGAAATGATACAAATTTACCGGGCAGGGTGCAAGAGTTAAGCGCCAAAGCCAATGGCGGAGGATCGCTTGCCGTGAACTGTTAATAATAGCACTGTGAGTAGCCGATCGGTTTGGTAAGGGAGAAAGTAGGTAACATTGTCCAGTGTCCATCGTCGTACTTCGACTAAATTTGAGTCGTCGCTTTCGCCCTTACTACTCCAACCTCCTTGTGAAGATCGATCAGCATCGAGTAAAACCCAAATAGAGCCATTGTCTTCCAGAGTGAAGTCAATGATAGGTTTATAAAATGGCTCATGCTGTATACAAGCCTCGGAGTCGTCGTTCATTGGAAACCAGAAGATAGCAGTAGCTCTGTCCATATCATTAGCTGGCACAATATGCGACATACAAGACTTACCCGACTACACTGAATACGATTCTTGGCACTGGCGAAAGGATTGATGCTATCCTGTGCACCACAAACACGACCTCACTTTCTTCTGTCGACACTTCTCCAGGTTGTCCCTCAGGGATTGCAGAATTTTGACTTTCTTCCGCGTCCCCGTCGTTACCACTTCGTTTTTCTTTGCGTTTACCTTTATTTTTTCTTCGTCCTCTTTTTCCTTCAAATGGCTCTATATCCTCGTCTTCATTCTTCCATTCCCTTTTCTTTTTAGGCGCCTTTACCGCGATGAAGGGTTCAACGGCAGAAAAGACATCGATATTACGTAGCAGTTTCCCGCTCATCCAATCCCATAGTTTTAACACGGAATCTCCACCGCCAGAGATAAGTGTCCTGGAAGAAAATGAAGGAATATGAAGTGCAGACACGTATCTGAATCATGTGGTATGAGTGTTTCCGAGCTCAGAGAGAACAAGACTTCGCACTTTTGGTGACCGAGGCAGTAACTCTCAATCGTGTATCCCTGTGGGTACCAGCTGACTCTGATGTGTTCGTCTCTATCGGCAGTCACAATGTACTGCCCGTCAGCGGTCAGTAAAAATGTAGTCAAGAGGGAAGCGTGACCCAGAATGAGTTCCCCGCCAGAGGGATTTTCATGAGATGACAAAGCGTCACGCTCGCACCCACTGGATGATTCATTTGAGCTTGGGTGCAGCTGATAACTAGAGCACGACAAGTTATGTATAATATCGTTTGATGTCGAACATCCTACCGGAATATGTCACCGAATTTGTCTGCAACAAGTATGTCTTTGTGATTCGCAAAATTTATATATGTTGGCTTCTTCGGCAGCACTCTGCGCTGCCTTCAGAACAGCGAAGGTTGGAGGGTTGGAAGTACATACCTTGAACTGAGGAGTTTTAGATCATCGACTTGCCAGGTCTTGAGCTTCTTATCATCTCCTGAAGTTGCGAGGTACTTTCCGCAATCACTCAACGCAGCACAACGGATGGGACCTGGTGCGATTTGATCTTCCTCGCATTTTCCGGTTGAATGTAGGACATCACCCGTGCTAAAAAGTAGTAAGTGTCGGAATGCAAAAAAGAAAAAATGTGCTACTTAGTGTCAAGGACTTGTATGTGAGGTCCTGCGATAACGATAGAGTGCTCTGATTGCAAAAATAAACGGGTGTAAGGGTATCGAGACATGTTGATCAATGATTGTCGGGCTAGCTTGAGTCACTGGGGCCTGGGCCGAGTACGTAGGGGGATGATCCGAGTACCGACGGCCCATACTTCAAAACTTGTTAATTGAACATTTCTTTAGCCACCTCTGACTCGACTTCTTCCTATTTGGCCCAGGGGAGATTACAACTAATTTTGAAGGCGTCGTTATTGCGAATCATGCGCACCGCGATTCCAATCACTTCTCGTCCCTTGGACCTAGTCTACTTCGTCTTTTTCTTGGTGCGTCAAATCAGTTATCAAAAATCCCACATACTTAACAGAAATAGGTCCATATACCCGCAACTTTGCTCATTGATCTGCAAGCCCTGTATCCTCCTTGGTTAATACCGTATTTCATACGTGCTCTTCCACGACTATATATCCAAATGTCGAACGACCCATTGATCGGAAGCGTCTTGGGAATGTTGGGAGATAGCAAGCCTTTTGTTTGGTTCAAGACCTTCCTTGCAGTTGAAGCGTATGAGAGTCTCTGACTAAATATTGTTCCCTATCCTAAACTGCGTCTACGTAGTCTCTTTCAATTTCCTGTCTTCATACTCGGAGCAAGAGGCCTTTGGCGAGGTGAGACATCCCTGAGTTGTATCTCTTGAAACGTGAATGTGTGTCTAATCAGCATTCAGATTCGCGATCCATATATGTGCTTCTCCTTGTATACGCCGCATCTACCACCACCACGACTTTGCCATGCCTATCTGTCTTGCTGGCGACGCCTACAACCAGTGCGCAGACCATAGCTAACAAAATAGTCTCTGTAACAGCCTTTCAACGCTCCCTGCTGTTGTCGAGTTACATTCCATTCTTTGTGATACCCTTCATCATGACGATCGATATGGCTTCTCGCCTGTCCAAACTGGTCACGACAGGGATAGACGCTGCTGATGAGAAGAAGGCGTCATAATGTTATCATAATGCAGTCCAGTGTTTCCTTTCGAACCAAGACCCTTAACAATGATTTTGTTTCATGATAGTTCTATGAGAGGTACCACTTGTGCGGTGAACTTCAAAATTTCACACCTGTGACTCCTCTAATTAGACATGATTATAACAGCAGCAAGCAGCTGTAGCCCTAGGTAAGCCAGTACTTGTGAGACTTCAGCTTCAGCGCTAAACTATCACTTCAAAATTACGTGCTGTATTGGAGTAAAATCACGAAATAGAGCTCAGGGGATAGTACTTGCACTCAAGATCATCATTGGTAGTCCCGTGACGCCGTGGGCCTAGTATTATTCTACTCGCCCTTGGAGACCTTTGCTCCTCAATATGGTGGTGCTATTACCCCGAACCCTGTTTTTATACTGACCATGACCTACATCACAAACCAAACGCACACGCAAAGTTGGTGTCACGGGAATATATGGCACTGTGCAATGTGCATAGTATAATATGTTGCTCTGTTGTAGGAGGTGTTGTTTCAGATGTTTTCATTGTAGCGTTATGGTGCTTTGGTGACCCACCTCCCTGCGTACTAAGCAGGTGAAGAAGGTATGTTTTTTGCTCTAGGATCATTATATCTGTTGACCTGCGATCTTCAGATGAAAATCACGCAGCACGCCCAGTACACCTGCACCTGGTGACCTCATGCACTAAGGTTAGTGAAAGATCTAATGTGCACATGTGCTTAGCCATTCTCATCTCGTCACAGGACAGGGCTCCGGGCCGCCCATGATTCATGAAACATACCGCCGTTAGTATCTGGCATTGCAACTCTTGCAAAAAGATTATCGTTGGCGGTGCATGGGCAGTATCGACGACTGCGGCGGCTACCGTACGGAGGTGAGTTCAGAGTCACCCCATTCACATTGTTGGGCATCAAACCTGCCTATCTGCCTAGCACCGTTCGTCGTCTGCAGGAGTTGACAGTGGCATAGATGAATTATTTTGCCATGCTTTCCTTCGCTTTGTACTATATATCTCAACCCCATATTTGACTACAAGCGGTGACCTTCGGTCGTTGCCTTATCACAAAGGCAGACTTTTGTACAATATAGTTGCATCAATTTCTCTTCGTTTCCTCTTGAAACTCAACGGCTTCTGACACGGGAACCAATGGGCAAAAGGATCTAACAGTGGGTAACAGGAGGACAGTGAATATTGTTTGCATACAGAAGTGTACCGTGAAGTCACCATCAGGTAGAACGATGTAACCGTTAGTTTTCATTGTCGTATTGTCATGATACCTAGATCCATTTTGGATAGGGACCAATTCATGAAAAATACAGGTGGTCGCCATATAGCACTGGAACGAAAGAACGAAAAAGGAGCAATGAGAAATGGTAACAGGATGTGAGCTTGCGTCAGTGTTAAGCAAATATGTTTCTTCAATCTTGTGAAGTTGCACGAATTGCTATTGAGAATCAAGAAATTGTATACATATGCTGAAGTAATATATACATCGAAAAATAATAACAATGGAATCAAGTCAATGGACCGTCATCTGAACCATCTACTTCATCGGTGGGGCTTAAGCCCTCTTCCTCGCCGTTGTCGTCATCTTCTTCGTCATCGTCGTCGTCGCTTTCTTCCTCACTTTCATTGAACATAAGAGAAATATACTCATCCCCGAGCCGGGCATCCTCGACCGCGACATGCTGTGAACTCAAAACATCGTCAGAACTAGTATCAGAACCAGGAATGACAGTGGAAGAAGTAGCAGCAGCAATATCCGAAGTCAATGAGGCTGTTGGCACTGGAGGCTTGCGGTTGCGGTTGGCACGAATAACGTGCGGAAGCTTGCATCCTTTTGTCGAACAACTTCCTTTCTCAGCAAAGTCTGGGCACTCTCTGATATGTTGCATCTCGCAGTCGAGGCCCTTGGCACAGTAACCAAGTACTGCGAAGTCGCGACACACGCCGCGTTGCTGTCCCACACGGACGTGAGGAAAGTGACAATTTTCTCGAGTGCACCGTCCGTTGTTGGCAAAATGCACGCAGAGAGGCGTCCGTTCAGGGGTCGGCTCGTGTGAGAGGTTACAGGTTTCAGCCGTGCTGGAGCAGTTGCCATGCAAAAAGTTCCAGCAGATGGCGATCTTGTTAGGGTCATGCTGGTACATGCAAGTCAGACCGCGGCTGCAGGCACCTGTTGCAGCACAGGTATTGGGTGAATACAGATTTAGCAAAGGTACCGTGAAAAAAGAGGCTGGTCACGCACCTGTAGTTGTGAAGCGGGGGCAGGGTTTGTCCAGGTATTTCATACGCTTATTTTTGCGTCTAGTAGATGTCATCAGGTTGAATCTGTAGCAGAAACTTGATCGGTGGACGGACTGTTGAGAACCTCGAGTGTTATCTAGAGTCATGTTCCGGTTTCTTGGCCGACGCTGACGAGCGCGGGACGAAGTCTTGGGTTTGTATGCACGGCCAGTCGGGATCAAGTGCCCTGTTGTTGTTCTGGAAAAATCTACTTGCTGGGGAATTGGCCGAAGTGGAGCCTTGGGTGGAGCCGATGGAGGCTTTGGCACTGTAATCGAACATTCCGCGGTTACAAAAATGCAACTAACCCGTGACCAGATACTGACAAGGAAACAAACTCACAATCTTTGCGCACGAGAGATCTGGTTGACGATTCGAAAGTCACGCCATCGATAACAACGTCACGGGTAGACGAGGCTTGAGGTGGACGGGGTGGTTTTGTAGGCGGGCGGGTATACTTTGTTGCTGGTTTCTGATATTCGGAAGGTCTATAAAATGCTGGCGGTTTATACTTTGGATTAAAATATGCGTTGCTCCTGGGGGCTGAGAAGGATTCAACGGATTGCTGAGTCGATTTATGTTGACTGATGGCACCTGCGTGGCTTGTGAAAAATAATGTCCCAATAAAAAAAGTAATCTCACCTGTTAGTCGGGCGATTTCTTCCTTCAGCGCTGCGTCCGATGTTGAAGCCATGATGGATGTCGAAGAAGAAGAGATTGGTCAGCTCCAAATGATGATTAACCAAAGTTGGAGCATGACAAACATAAGTACATACACAGTCACTGCAGCTGGAACTGATACTACGAAGGCATGATGGCTCGACACAAAAGACCTAACAAACAGCAGCCTTCTTGCAAGGTACCACTGTCACGGACCAAGCCTTTGTTCTTCTTGAGCCTGTTTGCTGCGGTTTTGTGGCTCTGGATGCCGAATCATTCTAAATCAGATGTGTCGGACAAGGTCAACGACGTCCTGCGTACACCAATGAACTTGTCTACATCACTCATCGAAAATGACTCTCTGACAGCCATGCTGCCAGTTCTTCCACATTCTTTTGAAGGTCTCGAAGCTTTGTTGTCCCCGTTTCTTGTTCCTTCGGACACCGTTCGAGAAGTCTTCTTGGTCTGCCCGCAAACAATCCTTTCAGATACGCGACGGTTACTCAAGAAGATCCTGTCATACAATGACGCCGTTGACCACCCTAATATCTCACTGTTACCCTACACAAGCTCTTCGTTCTACAACAGTACACTTACAAGTGCCGCGTTTGGAGTTAGAACGGAATGGGTTCTTGTTCTCGACAGCCATGGCTTGCGAGGCCTCAGCAGTGGACAGCAGGCCTATTTACTCAGTCCACTATCCATTTCCCTGCCAGTCGGACCTAATGGCTTCCTCCGATTTCCTGCCAATTTCAGTCGTATACTTGCGACTAGCGATTTCGAGCCTGCCGAATATCTTATCCCTCCCTTCGTGGCACCCACCTATCTATTCCCTCGCATGTTTTCGCATCTCGCCGATTCTGATCCTTGGCTTGCTTTTGGCGTGCACGTTGCGAAGACTCATCTCGAGAAGATAGGAGGGTTGGTCCTTCCATCCGATATCAGCAACCTCCAATGTTGCGAACAAAACTTTCACCTTCCATCCCTCGAAACAACTCGGATAGAGCATAACCAGACAAGGATTCTATCAGCGGATAACAACAGTCGTACGCAAAAACGGCCGACATCAGCTTTGGGTCATCTCGTTCTGGCCGTTCCTCATTTAGAAGATCTCCGTGCTTTCATGCCTGTTGTCTGCAGACTCCAGTCGGTTGGTCATACTATATCGGTCTTGCTGTACCAGGCGTCATCGAGCGATACCATCTATTGTTCTTCTGAGGACTGCGCTCTTCAGTGCTCAACCCTTTCTCACACCGCTCCGACCTTGCATAGTTGGCTGGATTCTCTGGATGCTTCACCCGATGTTATCTTCGCTTTGGATATTCATGATTTTTTGTCTGCTACGTTCACGATGGTTCTTCTACGCGAGCCCTACCGTAAAACCACATTCATTAGATTGCCTCGAGCTGACATACCACACTCAGAGTGGATCGGTTCACTCACCCTTCGTGAACTTCGCAGTTAGTAACGAGCGTCATTCTCATCGTTATTATCTAACCGAGAGCAGACTGGAATGTACCCGAAATCACCATTAGCGTCATAACCGATCATAGACCTCACTCTTTGCAACGGCTGCTGACGTCCTTGACCCGTGCTCGGTACTTTGGAGAAAGAATCGGACTGCGTATCAATCTAGAGCAGACTGCCGACTTCGAAACATTGAGGGTCATACAAGATTTCGAATGGCCGCATGGCGACGTCTTTGTCCACCGCAGAGTCATACATGGCGGTCTCCTCCCTGCTGTCGTCGAGTCTTGGTACCCAAATTCCAACGATTCTTATGGCTTACTTTTCGAGGATGATATCGAGGTGTCTCCCTTGTTCTTTGCATGGATCAAGATGACTGTCTTGCGATACCGGTAAGTTAATTACGAATTTTAGCAAGCTTTCCCATGATCAACACATTTTTTGGAGGTATGGTGGACCCGAAAATATCTCTCCGTCTGTGTTTGGTGTCAGTCTTTATCAGCAAAAAATGATCGAGCTCAGACCAGAAGGCCGGAGATCCTTCGATGCTAGGGCGCTTTTCACCACCGATGGCATCCTGAACCC